TAGGTATAAAACTGTAAAAGACCACAATATTATGGTATATTAAGTAAGAAAGCTTAATTTCAGCAGTGTATGTACACGGAAAAACTAAAAGCGACTATTCCAAGTTTTGCAAACAAATAAACATTACAGGCTAATGGCAAGAAAATTCTTAAGTTTTGTATTGTTTGTTTCACAAATTCCACGTGCGTGTTGGGCACGCGTTAGTGTGGCTATGATGGATCTTCTCGAACAAAGGTTATAATTTGGAAAACAATAATATTCTGAAGGTTACGGAATACGTACTACTGCGAATAAATCTACGTTGTTTGTTCAGTGCTTTCGGTATTTTATTGTTGTTTTTTTTTTAGGTAGAGTTTTTGTGATTTTCAGTTTTTGTTTGTCGTCGTAAGCTGCCTGGTAGACGATTTCACAATATGATTTAGTTTTAATAAATACGTATGAATACTTAGTTTACTTTAAATTAATAGGTACTTATGCCAAGCACATATGTAGGGATGTTGGGTCGTTAATAAGGCTACTCTAACTTAAAAGCAAATCAATCACCTATCAAAGCATAACTAGATTATTAGTAATTCGTATAAATATGAGGGGGGTTAACGGGATTATTAGTAATTTGTATATTTACAGATTGGTAATAATCCTTTAAAAAAGCACAGCAAGCTCGTTACAAAAACTCCATGACACGTTAGAACTTCTGAGAAGTATTAGCGAACATTGCACCATTACATGTAAGCACTAAGCAGGCAAATCGCTTCAAAGCGTTTTGTGACGTTTTCAAGCCTGATAGCGATCTCGCGTGGCTAGAAAAATATAAAGCGCTATGAAACATCGATCATTTGAATACTTATTCATCGGAAATATAAACTATAAAGAGAGTAAGTACGTATTAAAAAAGAAATCTAAATGTGTGGTTTTTAAATAACGTGTTAATTTCAAAGAAATTCCTATTATAATATTCAGATAAAAGTTTGTTGCGATGCAATTAATCTTACTAATTTCTGAAATAATCTGTATACTTAATCAGTTTTATGCTTAATTGAAAACCTAAGCCGTTATTTATCATAAATAACAATCTCACGGGGCGCTGAGCTGGACATAGGTTAACTTGCTACTAACGTTAGTTCATTGGCATTTCTCGTTTCACGCAACCACCGCGAACGGGCCGATTAAATATGCATAAAGGATTTTTTTGCTTATCGCCAGCTTGTAGGGGCTGTAGGCCTATCGCCTAAGTAGGTTCCCCAGGTGATAAGTCATGTCCAGACATTCCAGGATAATAAGGTGAGAAACAATGTTCTAATCGTCTACGAAAATCTTGTCCGTACTACGACACTCGTAACATCGCTACGGTGTTACGACACTGCTACGATTACTACTACGGTAAGAGATACAATTTTATTATTAAAATTTATAGTACCTACTTATTTTATCTTTTTACTTATTTTATTTTATATTTGTAATGGTATTTCTTGTGCAAACAAGCAAGTGTTCGAAAAAAGGAAGTAAAATTTTGTTTCCTAGTCTTATTGTAGATCTCATACTGAAAAGAAAGTCTAAAGATCTGATGGCCACCCTATGCCCAAGACGTCTGAAATTTATTCCACTCGAGTCGTTTACCCGTACGGTAATGAACTTAGGAAATTGAAGGTTTCTGAACTTGGATTTATCGCGGCGTGTACGTCATTGCCGGACGACTTCTACACTTTTACTTTTCGTGGGAATTAATAAGTTTTGTCCAGCTGGAAAGTTCTTTTGTTTCCCTTTTTTAACTAACAAGCTAATTACTTAACGCCTGGAAATCAACTGAAGAATGAACTGAAAATGAAAGTGGCATAAGCCAATAATGTTCTGCAATTAATCTTAAAGTTTAAAGTTACCTATCTAAATCGTACTTTTAGTATCTTAAAGCTTTCTTTGCTGGCTTATCAACTTAATCATCCTATTGAAATTCTATAATATACCTACTCAATTCGCACCAAACTCCATATAAAATAATGAAAGACACATCTACCTTGTTAAAATGTAAATGCAATTATGTATATTTTGAATTAAAACTACTAAACACCGCTACTACTAAATTGTAATTTGGAGTCTAGCCAAAACTGCTCCATTAGATAGCTATTTAAGTTCGCAATTGCCTTCCTCTCAGCAATCAAAGGGGGAATAGTCTAACAGACTTAAGTACATAAGTGTACACGTATGCAGGTAATTGGTTCAAAAACAGAGTTAATCTAGATCCATTAAGGTCAAGGCGCCTCTGGAATGATTACGAGTGCAAGTGCGCCGTGACGTCACCGCACTATAATCAATCAATGGCGTTATGACGCACGGTGGGCTGATATTAGAGCTTCATAGACTTAGCGTCGCTCAAAAATCAAGTGCCTAATTTTGAAAAAATAAATATGCCAATGTGTTCCTTTACCAAAAAGGAATATTTTATGTTATATAACGTTTCTTGATAAAGTTATTATTTAATAAGTTATTGACAATTTCCTTTTTTTTTTGTATGGAGCTCAACATTTATTTTTATTTTATTCGTTATTCTTAAGCTTTCTTAAGAAATTGACTTTTGTATTATGTAATGCAACATATAAGCTATGTTATCACCAAGTGTCGCATTTCGGAAATCTTCGGAACATTGTCATTTTGGACTTTAAAATAAAAAAAATAAAAAATTGAAATAACTGCCAAATTTTGTAAAAATAACTAAGCCAATGTGTTCCTTTGCCAAAAAAAAATATTTTTTGTTATGTAACTTTTCTTGATAAAGTTATTATTTAATAAGTTATTGACAATAATTACTTTTTTTTTGTATGGAGCTCAACATTTTTTTTTATTTTATTCGTTATTCTTAAGCTTTCTTAAGAAAAGTAATTATTGTCAATAACTTATTAAATAATAACTTTATCAAGAAAAGTTACATAACAAAAAATATTTCTTTTTGGCAAAGGAACACATTGGCGTAGTTATTTTTACAAAATTTGGCAGTTATTTCAATTTCTTATTTTTTTTATTTTAAAGTCCAAAATGACAATGTTCCGAAGATTTCCGAAGTGCGACACTTGGTGATAACATAGCTTATATGTTGCATTACATAATACAAAAGTCAATTTCTTAAGAAAGCTTAAGAATAACGAATAAAATAAAAATAAATGTTGAGCTCCATACAAAAAAAAAGGAAATTGTCAATAACTTATTAAATAATAACTTCATCAAGAAACGTTACATAACATAAAATATTCCTTTTTGGTAAAGGAACACATTGGCATATTTATTTTTTCAAAATTAGGCACTTGATTTTTGAGCGACGCTAAGTCTATGAAGCTCTAATATCAGCCCACCGTGTGACGTGTCCCCGAGGCCGTACCTAATAAAGGGATAAGTAGTAGGAACCTGCAATTCACCTCCCCCTTAACTCTATGACCATAAGGGCGAAAACTTGGCAACCTGAGAGTCATCGCACATTGTGGCAGCGACGTAACCTCGACAGGCGGAAGCGGCCAAGAATAGAATAATTTCAAATCGCATGGAAATCAAATTTTCTACAACATAATACTATTTTCATACGTTGTTTACTTTTAATATTATTCCACGAAATGTATTACATTCACAGTGACATAATGTAATACATACGATTGTAATCTATTCGGATTATTATAGTTAGTAGTCAGCTGATGGTTTATGATAAATATAAATTATTAAAGCACCTCCTGTCGAATACATGAAAACCTGTTAAAGTACTAAATGTAAATAAAGGTACTTACCTTTATTTACAATTCTGAAAAATATGTTTTGAATAAATAAGTTTAGTTGTTTACGGCTGTAATTAGATATCTCTCATAGCATCAATATAACCCGTGCTTTTGAAAATTTCATATTATTTTACCAAATTAAGTTGTATTGAAGTAAATAATATAATGAGCGAGGATTCCGTCAACTGGGACCGCAATTAACTGGGACTGCGGTCCTAGTCGCCGGATGCGTAAGAATAAAATAATTTTCTTCCGGCGACTGGGACCACTCATGGATTTTAGTACTGTACCGATTTTGGATTGAATAATAAATTTTCTTTTAAGTTATCTATGAGTGGTCCCAGTCGCCGGAAGAAAATTATTAATTCTTTATGGATCCGGCGACTGGGACCGCGGTCCTAGGTAATTGCGGTCCCAGTCGCCGGAAGCCTCTAATGAGCATATATAAAAAAAATCAACCATTCACTCACATCGTAGCAATGATTTCCTATCTTTCATTACGCTATCGGTTTTACGAAATGAGTTCTATCGAATAGTAGCGGTCACTCTCATAGCTATAGTTACCTCTTACTACAACAATAACATTCAACAAGGAATTAAAACTTATGGAATTCCTAATATTTCACGTAACAAAAGTAAAATGTACTGAACAAGATTTCACTTACCAGACCAGCTGGTTGAGACATTCCTCGTACATAATTCCCTCATCTCGTTTATGTCTTTTCTTGCCAACATTGCACTACTACACATATCACACACAAATATCACAATTTAGCCACCACAACGCACCATTTAATTGTTATCGTTCTACAAGCTTAAAATGGACAAAACTTTAACACACAACACATCGACATAATTATTTCTAGAGCATTTCTATCAATACTGACGGTTGTGTCAAGGAAACTTTCCTTTATTTTCTTAACTACCTTCTTTTATCCCCGTGATTTGACTGGCAACATAAATCAATTGACAGCTGAAAATAAGAATATACGATTCTAAATTCAAATTTTGTTTTCTAACAGAAAAACCTGACGTTACGTCAGTTTTTTTATATTTAAAATTGGAACACTAACTCAATGGACGAACTTATGCGCGAATTTTCCTTACAAAATGGGTCCCGTTTCATAAATGGTCCTCGACATAATATAAGTTATGAATATTGGTAAGTATTTTTACTGGCAAGACCATTTTTCTTTTCCAGCGGTATAATTTCGTGGTAAACAAACGTCGGTGGCGAGGGTGGCACGTGTTGGTCAGTCGTCGTCCCGCGGCCGGCCGCCCCACGCGAGCGATGCCCGTCCGTTAGCCACTCGCCGCCGCCATGACCGATGACATACCAGGTGACAAGCGACCACAATTATTTTATAATCTGTTTAAAAAAACTTGTGGAACACTGGCCAGTTACAAAAACACGCGCATTACACAGGATTTATTTTTTAAAAGTGAAAGATTAACTTCGTAACCATGATAGTTGTATCAGCTGCCACCAAAAGTGTTCTGTCAGAATGTAGAGTTTGAGAAAAAAGACTCATTTTGTCTCTTCATTTGTTTTAATCTTAAGAATTGTGTCCGTTCGCTGTTTGTAATGCCCTAGTTCACGGTGCATGGTCATTAAGGTTATGCGAAATTCTATAAAGAACGCCCGAACCATTTACAATGTGGTTCACTATGTCTTGCATGCTAAATACGTAGTTTATTTGTAGGAACGCGAATTGAAACGTGGCGCAAAGTATGTTTGCAGGGTGTTAGCATATTTTCATCTAGCGCTTTTGTACAGAATGACGTTTTACTTTACTTTTTTTTACAGTGTTCTTTCATCTTTTTTTATTCTTCTATCATTAGTATCATCATTGCTTACTGTCATAAAAATTTACATTTATAATGGATGTTTTGTCGCACAACAATGTAACATTCTGAATCAACTTAGAAATTTAATTCAATCAGCTGAACCACAGCCCGACGACGGAAATAACACTGCTGGTGAGTAAGAGCAACATTTTGACACTAATTTATAACTAAATTTTACAACTACCCCAACTTTTTTATTCTTTGAACTGCATCTTTTGTACAGTGCGTACAATTTATTTCATGCAACTACTTACTGAATTTCAGAAATATTTGTGAAACATGTTCACACAACCTTGCCATCATTTACAATTTTACCATCTTATATGGAACGATCATGTTTATTGTAAATAGCATTGTCAATTTAGATCCATTTCAAAAATAAACTTACGTACAAATAAGACTCAGGTGCCGTCACCTGGAACACGCTTTGCTTATCGATTCCTAACGACTTTGGGTCAGAAATTGAGGTCAAGTTTTATAGTATAATCAAGATTAGCCCTTTATTTTCATGGAGCCCATGAAAAGTCGTATTTTATCACGCTCATATAATAGGATATCATTACCTTTATTGTGCCTAATAAAATTACGGAGAGTACAAATAGTTTTTAATTATTGATTAAATTTTATTTTCGAAACTTCACTTCACTTGCATTTCATTACTAGTGAAAACTACTTCGACTCTGATTTGATTTTTATTGGCGATATGGCTGATATACAACCTACTGAAGTTCAAATCTGTGCAATGGCGCTGCTGAGCCAAACGCCCTGTATATTATGCTGCACTTTTTCCGAACACGGTGCAATTAGCATATAATAATAAAATCCCCGTATCACGCTAGCACCACCCTCGCATGCCAACCCGCGACCGGCATAATCAACTGCCCTGTACTCTGGCGATACAGAAATATGTACTTAGTAAAAATATTAGAGCCGTTAGGTATGGAAATATAAGTCAAACGACTTTTGCTAACTTCTGTCGAAAAAATTGGTCAAAAACCCTAAAAACCATATATTTCTTCGGGAAAAAAAACCATTATAATAAAATTATATACTACTGCTCTAAAGTCATCAATTTCCAATAGGAATTAACACCAAGGATTTTCGTCAATTATTAAAGAAAACAAAAAGAAAAATCTTTATCAATTTTTTTGGATTTGAAAAAACTAAGAAAATAATTAAAGAGATCTTATTTTATGTATATCTTATCTTATGTTATGTTTATGTTACCGTATTCTATATTAACACTCTTCAAGTTGTTATTTCTTCATGTTATTTCTATAAGATTAATGGGAACCTAAATCAGTTTCATTGAATTACCGACTCTACCAAACATTGTGTATTTTGTTCTAACAACATCATGATTTATGTCAGCGTTTGAACATAAGCTGCTACTACGACTTCTTAGTCCATTTGTAATGGAATTAGGGACAGGTCTAATATTACTTAAGAAGTCATTAGTCGCCTGATTACCCACTCGTAAGCGCTCTAGTAGAAAATCCATCGTGTAGACGTAGTGTAAGTTGCCAATCTATGTACGAATACTTGCATTAGACTTTTGTTACGCAACTTAAAAAGGGTTCAATTTCTAAAAGTTGTCATATTTAATGCTAAGATTAAACGTGAATGTCTAAAACCTCATTTATTCATCATTATTTTTAGCCATAGGACGTCCACTGCTGAACACAGGCCTCCTCCAATGAAATCATAATGACTATTATGATTATTCAATCAAGTATAAAACCAAATTCCTTTCATAGACAAAGGTAATGCTTATCATGGTTGTGTAGAGCACTTAAAATTATTAGGTATTAGTTATAAATATAGGACTGACCTTAACATCTGAAATGCTATTTCAGTACGTGACGGACAAGCCTTTATACCACCAGCGACATTTAAAAATAGCCCAAACTTTGGTTAAATTCCATCCATCACGTTAATCTAAATTGCTAAATACTAACTCGACAAATCTCACAGTCCATCAACTTAAACAGAACGAACTATTACCACGAATACCACATTATATTATTATAGGTATTTGCTAGAATGATGTAATACCACTTTAGTGCTATTATATTCTTTAGCCAGAATTCCAAGTATTTCTATACACAATTACTGGCTACAAGTGTTATTCGTGAAAAAGGTGCTATTAATTTCGGACATGATACCGATCTCCGACAGCTTGAGGTAGCCGAAACAGCCTTCGGACAAGGTCACCGGAAGTCACGTGACCTAAGGGCTGCTTTACATTTTCCTACACCTTTAGTTCAGCTACGCGTCGGTATAATTTAGTCATCTCAGATGACGTCAGATGGAAATTTTCACCACCACTAATGGAGCGTAATAAAAGTTGGGGTAGAGAATGACGCATAGCATTTACATTTCTATGAAATGGCCTGTCAGATAAGTACTTATTGCCTACTTATTAATTTACGACACAGTTTGTCGTAAGGGGGCGTCCATAAATTACGTGAGGCTTTTAGGGGGGGGAGGGGGTCAACGAAAATCTCACTAAATCTCACGTAGGGGAGAGGGGGGGTCTCGGAAAATATCACGTAATTTTTCCCGCAAGGAATAGAGTAAAATTGCCAGAAAACTGGGTTATTGAAGTAAAAAAAAAATGATTTTTTTATGATGATAATGACAATTTATTCCAAACCGTCTAATCAAATTAAACTAAAAATGCCTCCATCTGCATTTGTGAACACTAAAGATGCAGAATAAATGTCGAAATTAAGAAAATTCGAAATTAAAAAAAAACTTCATCAGCATCGCTATTGCATAATAAATTGGCCAAGTGCGTGTCGTCCCACGCGCAGTGTAGGGTTCCGTAGTTGTCTGTCGTTACCACAATATATTTCAGAAGCAAGCAAAGACTTCTTCATCTAAAGTCACTTTTCATATTTTCTTGTAAGGAATTTTTACCGGTTAAGAAATTGTATAATACATGAGTCAAATGACTATTACTCTTAAACTAAGTAATCTATCTTAACCGTTATAGTTTTCCTTGAAAAAAGTCTACCCTAGAAATTGTATTTTACCGTTTTGTCGGCGTGATTAATATACATACCTTCACAAAATTACAGCTCCCCAGTGCCAATAGTTTCCAAGCAAAACCTCGGACAGACAGACAGACATATCGAAACTATAAGGGTTCCTTGGCAGGACTACGGAACCCTAAAAAATGACATTACATAAGTATGAAAATATTATGTATTCGTAGTTAAAGTAACCAATAGTCAAATTTGACAGATGTCAAATGACAAGTTGTTAAATAACAGAAAAAAATGTTTTTTTAACAATGTTTAACTTGACTTTTAGTACATTTTTTAACTATTAGTTTACATTTTATTAATATTTAACCATTAGAAGCAAAATTTAACAATTATTTATTTTAACTATGAATCAAAAAACTGGTCCTAGGTTGAAGCAATTGCTTGTCTTACTAAACGACGGGAAGCTACGGAACCATGCACTGCGCGTGGCACGACACTGGGTTACTGATTTTTTCATATAAATCTAATATACCTACTCGAAGCATAGATATTGCAAAATAACTTAAATATCACGTGAGATTAGGGGGGTGGGGGAGGGGGTCAGGCAAAATCTCACCAAATCTCACCAAGGGGGGCGGGGGGGTCGAAAAATGGCCAAAATTGTCTCACGTAATTTATGGACGCCCCCTTACATGATAACATCTAAATGAATGCTTAAAATACTACAGAGCAAAAAATACGCAAATGTTAGACAGCAAAAATAGAAAAATTAACTTACCAAGGTGTTTGTGAATATCAGTAGCAGCGTGATTATTTTCAAAACAATATATTGATACCTTTTGAATGTAAAAATCATGAAATGTAATGAAAATTATTTATTAATTAGCCAAAAACGTCAGATGGCCGCCTTTGATTCTAGAGGACTCAATTACAACAGACTACCTAATCCTGAAAAACGAATACGTTAGGCATCTTTTTTACGTTTTGTGTAAATAAAAATATTTGTGCTTTATTACAGTTATAAAAACTGTAGTGCGGACAAAAATTGGTTTCATTTACGGGCCATAAAGAATGTGGCCAATTTTCTGGTTTCTATTTAAATTGTGAATGAGCTGAAAATTATTCAACTAAAATAACTTTTCCAACCAAAATGACATAAAAACAAGTTTTTATATAAATTGAAAACAGTTGGTTTTCAATCGCGAGGCTTACAGCTTGACGTTTCACCTGTATTTCTACAGTGCAGCGTGGTTAGAGTTTATAGTACCCAGTAACCTTACTTATCATATTTTAAAAAAAATATAAAGTTTACGTTCAACGAACGAACGATCCATCCTCAATGTTTGAATATTCAAGTTGGTGAAATGCTGTTCATAATCTAACTAAAAGGAAATGGAAACCGATACCATAAAGGGTATCGGTCATAAAAATAAGTATGAGCCCCACACTGTATACAAATGTGAAGTGCCTACAAAATTTTAATGAGTCCTAAATTCGAAGTTCAAAGTAAAAAGTCTTATAAAGATACTAGCTGTGCCCGCGACTTCGTCCGCGTGGAATAATGACTTTGGGTAGGCACTTTTAATAATTTAGTCTAATTATTTTACAAATAGCTTTTGCCCGCGACTTCGTCCGCGGAGAAGTCGAAAACGTTCTCATTCGATTTTTAAATGTTTTTAACGTTATTATCTAAATGTTTGAATACTTATAAAATATAAAAATCTTAAAGGTTAAATTAATAAACATAAAAATAAAATTTTCTTATATTTTATGAATATGCAGCTCGGCCTTTGATCGGTGGTATTATCTTTTTGCAACGAAATCGAAAACTACACCTACCGCAGTATTATTGGTAAACTTTTTTTTTATTTTCCTACAGGTGCTAGAATCACCAAGCTTCTAGCATGCCACTGGCCGTGGGAGAAGGAGCTTTTCCTCAAGACTACTCCCACTACCTCAAGGGCCTCCGCCAAAACTCTCGCGCGAAAATGAGTTTATGTATATGTTACAGGAAATGTATGAATTCTAGGAATTGTATACTATTCCTAGGAAATGTATACAATTCCGAAGCTATTTAGGAAATGTATAAAATATTGCTTCAGAGATTTTTTAATACGCACATATCCTAGGAAATGTATACTTTTCCTAGGAATTTTATAGAATTCCAATATTGTATTAGGAAATGTATAAAACTAATCGGCACAAGCGCGGTCGCGTGATCGGTTGCCCCTCGGTACGCCTAAAATTTCATTTGGCCAAACACATTGGCCGATAGGTACTTTAAACTCACAAATTATTGTTTAGCCTGACAGTTGTTTTCGCACTATTATACGTTTTCTTTCGGCATCACGCATATTACGCTGAAGTATTGGAAATCCCTAATTTTAACATCTCTTTTATTAAACTATTATTGGCATGAAGGTTTATAATGCCTAATGTTAATATTTTGGCATTGAAGAATAAATAAATAAAATAAATAAGGTTTTAGTACTCCAGTAGCTGGATAACAAAGTCTGGGTTAGGTTAGTGATAGATCGCCCGGAGTCCTGCCAGCAGGACTTAAAGTACTTCCGGTAGGACGCAAAATTAAAAGATCACAGTTTCGTAAGTATACATTGTACAAATTTCAAATTTACACGAAAAAATAGAGTGTTTCTCTCTCTTTCACCCAATAGTGCCAAAGATCGAAAAACGCGACTAACCGTTAGTCGGAGCCCGATGGCGCACGAGTATACACGGGGGCAGCGCGTTCGCGCTCGCGCGACACATTTTGACGCGCCGGGCGTGGAGTCGGCAACATTTTGGCGATAATATTATAATGAATGTGAAGTATTCCAGCCTAATCAAACATTTATAATTTATTTCTTGTTTTTGTTTTTAATTTGTAGTGTATTTGTAAGTGATAGGTGTAATTTCTAATACAAAGTGACGTACCAAAGTAATTAATTTAAAGTTCCTTATCATAGTTCCTATTAGTTAAGTTGAAAGAAGATAAACAAGTTTATAATATATTAAGAAAAGTAAAATACTGGTTAAACAAAATGATTCTACGACATGACTTTTTATTTAATAAACACTAACCAAGTGTTTACTACTTCTGGTGAGGATGAGTTCAAATTTGAAGGTCACCGTACTGCTGGAAGGACCAGCAAGCAAACACGTACNCCCCCCCTTTTTACCTCCTTAGGGGTAGAATTTTGGAAAATCCTTTCTTATCAGATGCTTACGTCTTACAAAGAATACACCGTCCAAGTTTCAGGTCTCTACGATCAGCGGTTTAGGCTGTGCATTGATCCATCAGTGGCGCGCGCAGTACTTGATCATTATTTTGCTGCGATGATATTTTAAAACTGCGATATCTTCTAAGATATTTATTGAAATCGAATGGTGTAAAGGCCAAGTATGTTTAAAATTAAATACTTGTGATGAATAACTTATTTATTTGGATAAGGATTAATATCATGTTTATGAAAAAACCTGCGCAAATAATGCATTAATTTAAAACAGATTTCTTTTTGCATAAAAAGGGTTACTATGAGCCAACCTTAAAAGATAGACATATGCTATCGCGGACTTTTTTTTAGAACTTTTAAAGGGGAACAATTCTGTCATACATGATTTTTGCGAAACTTTAACCGTTTACGCAGCGTCAGCTCTCAAAAGGAAAAAAATCACTGAATTGAAACATTCTTCATTGGTGCTCCGCTCCTATTGGTCTTAGCGTGATGATATATAGCCTAAAGCCTTCAGGAACTAACGGGCTATCCAACACAAAAAGAATTTTTCAAATCGGTCCAGTAGTTCCTGAGATTAGCGCGTTCAACCAAACAAACAAACAAACAAACTCTTCAGCTTTATAATATTAGTATAGATTTTTACTTAATTAAATCAGACTTTTATCTGCTTCTTTCTTGTATTTACAATTACCTAATGTGAAAACTTAAAAAAACATCATTGCACTGATACTGAATCCAAATGTTAATACTTACACATAATAAATATGGAAAATTACCCACAGCATAACAAAGTATAAACAATGCTTATCCAATGCAATACGTTAAACTTGAAATCACGCAATGCTCATTTTAATTCTCATGAGTTATGGATGCAGAGATTCGCATAGTAAATAATTCATTCATGTCAACATAAGTTCTTACTACATAACTAATATTACTTCTGAGTATCTATCACTTATTTATATTTGTTTTTGTTTTTTTTTATTAATAACGTTAACCCCTCGAGGTAAGCTTAAATATGCTCGTTACGAGTGGGTTCACCACAATAGTCCAGTGACGACGAGGTTCAGAACCCACATTTCTCGGATCTCGATTCGGCCGGACTGAAACCGACACCATTGGGCTACTATCGCTTTTTTAACGTTTTTCTTTCTAACTGCTGTTACTAACTTCGCAGAAACGGGTGCGGTGTTCACATTCGGCAAGTCGCACTTCGCCGACAACGAGCCGAGCCACTTCTTCATCAAGAACGATCCCATCGTCGCGATCTCCTGCGGCGATGAGCATAGTGCTGTCATTTGTCGTGAGTAAACTGTATATTTTTGAACCACTTCTTCATGAGGAATCACTTCATCTTATTCACAACAAAAAAAATTATGCTGTGAGCTTATATACATATAATTAACTTTCCATCAAACAAGACGAGTCAGTTCTAACTAATCTGCTGAAATCTGCCGTACCTAAATGTAGTCTTTGCTACAAATAACAGGTGTGTCCATTAATAACAGAGTATTTTTCTTATCCATTCCAAGTTATAAGAAATTCCAAATGAAAAACAATCAAATTAAGTATTGCTCTTTCCTCTGGTCCTCTATGAGAGAAATAACAAGAACAACAATTTCTAGATTTGGCCAAAAGCCAGAGATCCCATGAACCCGGAAAAGTTAATTAATCACCAGCGTCGGTGAGTACTTCGCAAGTGGAATTCATTTACTGCAATTTTCCGAGTTTCCCGACCAGTTTTATGCTCTGAATTCAGCATAGTCCATTAAAACCACCAGAGCTTATAGTCATAAATTATTTTGGTACCTAGACTTCAGTTAAAACCTTGGCACCCATGATTGCCGCGAAATGGTCATAAAAATGTAATAATTAGGTACCTATACCGCTAGCACTACAATTCTGTGAATATAAAAATCGTTTATAATAGGTACATAATCGTTTATAATAGGTAATTATAGGTTGTGCTATTTTTGACCTTCGATAACATACATAAATTATTTCTTTGGATTATTTATTGGCAGAAGATTATGAAAAAATCTGCAATAAAAAATATCGTCTCAGTCTCTCTCAAAATCACTTTTTTTCATGTTTGATTGAAATTGTATTCTTTCTGAGAAAAGTGTCCTTCGAAATGATAACCGAAGCAGGAACAAGTCATGAAAAAAATCATCGGCAATTTTCTTCCTCATTAGCAGTAAAATTCCTTCTACAGTCTGAGAACCTGTAAAACCTGTTCGTTGTTGCAGAGAATGGGAGGGTATTCGTATTCGGCGGGAACGCGTGGGGGCAGCTGGGGCTCGGCCACAAGGACGAGGTGACGCGGCCCAGCTGCGTCAAGTGGCTCAAGCCGCACCGCGTCATGTTCGTGGCCTGTGGCCGCGCGCACACCGTGTTCGTCACAGGTTTGACAGTTATTTGATGGCTCTATGATCTGAAGGTTGCACTTTCTCGATACGCGTGGTGGCAGCTGGGGCTCGGCCACAAGGACGAGGTGACGCGGCCCAGCTGCGTCAAGTGGCTCAAGCCGCACCGCGTCATGTTCGTGGCCTGTGGCCGCGCGCACACGGTCTTCGTCACAGGTTTGAGACTGTCTACATTCAGAGGTTCTGGATTGAATTCCTAGATTGAACGCACTCCATTCAAGTAAAAAGATTCAGAGCTGTCGGTCTCATAGAGCCATATCAAAGACTATGAGAGCTCATAGAGTCTGATATCAAAGCTCCAATCTAACAACCCACACGATGAAAGATATTTTTCATCAGCAGGTCTCAGCTGGATTAGCTGCTATCTCTTGAGATAAACGTCGCAAAAACCAACAGCTTACACTCTGGCCTTCGATTTGATTTTGTCACACTTCTGTTTTAGACAACAGCGCAGTGTACTCCGTGGGCTGCAACGACGAGGGTCAGCTGGGCACCGGCGACATGGAGCACCACTCCGTGCCTCAGTGCGTGGAGCTGGACGCCGAGTCCGCCCGCGTGCGCCAGGTGTCTGCCGGCAGCAACCACTCTGCCATCCTCACGGGTCAGTGCCAATAATGTTGCTTTTGTGGCTGAGCAATGGGCCTATGGAATGTGTTATCATTTCCAGTTTTAAGCTCGCAGTCCGATTAAGCCATGTCAAACGGTGCGGCGGGGCTGTTATGATGCGGACGTATGTCATGTGGCGTCGCCACACTCATCTCTGATACCAGGGGAGTTGGAGAATTCCACTGTCTGTGACAACCGAGGCTCTACTTGGGAAATCATCAATATTCAGATGTCCTCCGTAGTTGCCAGTGGCAACGTGAAAGTGACATTTGAGTATTAGCAACTTCATCATCATCATCATCATGTCAGCCATAGGACGTCCACTGCTGAACATAGGCCTCCCCTAATGCTTTCCACATTGATCGATTGGTACTGGCCTGCATCCAGCAACTTGAAATATGTTATTTATGTGAATGTTTATGGAAAGTTTAATTGGTGTACCTTACTCTTTATCTCACATGACTTACCAAGTAGAGCCTCGTCTGAACAGCACCACTCACAGATGTAATTTGCCATACAGATTCGGGGCGCGTATTCGTATGCGGCTCCAACACGGAGGGGCAGTTGGGGCTGGGCGAGGACACGCGCTCGTGTGTGCGCTTCACCGAGCTCAACTTCGTGGAGAAGATCGCCTTCGTCGAGTGCGGCTACTACCACACCGTCTTTATTACCAGTGCGTAACGTATACATTTGGATGAAACATTATTGTAGTCTATAGGCTCGGGACGCGTGTTCGTGTGCTCCAACACGGATGGGCAGCTGGGGCTGGGCGAGGACACGCGCTCGTGCGTGCGCTTCACCGAGCTCAACTTCGTGGAGAAGATTGATAAGTAATTACGTAACTACTAATCGAAGTCTACATCTACAAGGTATAAGTTCTGTAGGCGCGCGAGTTCATGTCCATCGGGGCCTTACTTACTTACTTATTTACTTATACTTATACTTATACTTACTTATAAGTTGCAAAAAATATGGAATAAGTAGATAAGGTTGACCTACTTAATTGGTAATAATTATCGATATCGACATTAGCATAATTAGTTAGGTAACAGCACTATCTACCGCATTCCTCAGGATGGATATGAACTCGCGCGCCTACTGTAGGTACTGTTGAAGCTTTTTTTTATACAATTTTAATTCCAGTCCCGTAATAAAATACCAACAGACTAGCGCCTATTGCCTTAAATAAATTGCAGTTTATTCTCAAACCTACTTGTGAGATTGGCCAACATAAAGTCTAGACACCCTACGGTGGACGTGACGTGAGATTCGGATATAAAAACGCCTTTATCTGAACTCTAGTCCTAAATAATTTATTTCAGTAACTTCACCTGTCTAGCGAAAAGTATAGTACCTGCTATAGGTAAAGACACATTTTTTACGATGCTAGTTACAAATCACCCGTCTGAAAAGCTTACCAAAAAGTCTAAAGTTCAAACAAATCACACATGTGTACAAATGTACACATTTATCACGACATCAAAACCTTCTACACAATATTTGGCCGTACTTTGGAAATATAACCGACACATTTTTATAGCTCAAGGAGCGGTGTTCGTCACGGGTGACAACGAGAATGGAAAACTTGGCATAAAGAATCCTGCGACCACCGTGTACGTGCCTGAGGTGCTGCCCATAGATATTCCTATAAAAAGTGCCTGTTGTGGAGCCTCTCATACCTTCCTGTTGTCTATGGATGAGAGCAAGATCCTGGCCTTCGGGTCCAATGAGAAGGGACAGCTGGGAATGCCACGAGAGGTGGAGAATGTCACGGAGCCAGCTGAGATTGACATGGAACAGATGTTCGACGGATATCAGCTCAAGCTTGTCGCTTGCGGCGCTATGCACACTGCCTTTGTTACAGGTAAATTACTTAATCTATCAAATATACATTTTTTTAGCCTAAAACAATAATTATCTTTAAATTCAACAACTTTGCCTAATTTTATCAAAGTAGGCAACAAATCTAAATAGCGTGCGATAGGTACTGTACCTAAATCAATACGATTAACTCACTACCATTGCTTAACGCCTACATGAGAGTTACATACATCCATACATCATTGTTAGTCTAATGACACTGCTCTACACTTTACTTAATTTGAAATAATAATAATAATATATTAACATGCTGGTCCTTCCTAAATTACCATATCGCTTACCGACCGATTTCCATATCAAATCGTGTCCACTCTGTAAAATCTATTTTCGTTGACCTTGCACGCAATCGATTCCATAACACATATCCTCCACTTTTATTTCCAATGGGCTTTGGTACGCGTCCGACAATAAATTAGTCCGCCGGCTGTGTGAGCAGTGTCGAGTCGCCACTTGTTGTCGGCGGCCGTACCTCGCACACGTGAACTGCCTGTTTCAGACAACGGGCTGCTCTACACCTGCGGCGAGTCGCGCCACAATAAACTCTGTTTGGAGGAAATCGACGACGCCGACAACGCTAATGAGGCTGTCCCCAATCAATACTCGCCGAAGCGGGTCACCGCTATGAATGGCTTCGTCGTCGACAACGTAGCCTGCGGCGGCTGCCACACGCTGCTCACCGCCACCAAGGGCTCCAACGCAGACTTCACCAACAACGACTTCAGCATCGTCACCGAGGAGAAACTGCAAACGTCCATCACGGAACTGCCACCCCTACAGAAAATACCCGCGATGAGCAAACACGAGGAGCCGTTCACGATCGAGGACGTCACGAACTCGAATATTGACGAGCATGTAACTGCAGACAACGTGAATGGAAACGCGAGCGAGGAGATCGGATCGATCGACTCACTGGAGGCGAACGTCAGCGGCTCCCACATAGTAAATATAAACGACCTTGAGAACGAAAACGTAACCCCGCACGACATCCCCGACGTAAACAAAGATGATATTGCCCCGTCTTCCCCGACATTAAAAACCACCGTGAAGGACGCGATGCATAACATACAGGCGATGGTTGGAAAAACTGAAGAAAAAATACAAGAAACCGTTCAAGTTATCAAAGATGAGGTGACAGGAAAAGTGGAAGTTGTGGAAAACATAATAAAAACAACCACTACAATAGAGCCCATAGTGCACCACGATGAAATTAAATCACTAGGAGTGCCAGAAAAAATTGCAGAAATTGCTAATTCGCCGCCTCCAAAGTCTCCTTTGCTTCAAGATTTATTACATGTTCCTGATCTATCGCAGATGAGCCCGGTTCTGAGTAAACATAGCGATGATGGGCAGAAAAGTGAAGGTGGGCAGTCAGAAAACGAAACGATCCCCTGCGGGTCGGATAAGTCTAGCCCGCAGGCCGGCAAGACCAAGACGCAGGCTGTGATGCCCATCGTGAGGAGCGAGGACGCCATAGACGCTCACGACGGGCTCAACGAAGAAACCGACGTCGTGGTTGGTAAAGAAAAGGGTAGATTTGCTCGAATGTTTCAATCAATAAAGGACAAAGAAAATTCCTGCATCGGCAAAGGAAAGGTTATCGAGGATCACGTTGTTGGTACGTATATTTTTCCCGCTGTTAGTTACTTTTGTTTTTATTACAAATACAGAGCATGAAAAACAATATTCTTTTCAGAAAATGTACACAAAGGCATAGATGGAGCTGAAGATACTGTCCACAAAATAGAAGAGACGATAGAGACAGAAGTGAGGAATCAAACTAACTCTCGAACTTGCACCATATTATAAGTAATTAATTATTCGTCTTCTTGTTCGTTTAGCTTAAAAATAAAGTTTATATTATTGCTATCCTTGTTTATTATCTTACTTTTAGAAGGAATAGCCTGAATACGAAAGAATCGTAAGTATACGTACCTATTCGACTATAAAATCTGGCACGCGCCTAATGTTGCCAATACCAGCATATTTTACGAGAACTTTAGGCAAGAAACGTCATGAATGAAGGCATAAATTACAGTAAGCATTGATCGATACGAGACTCATGCCAATGAACTGAAATAGGCTGCTGTATGTAAGCCGTTATTATTACAATCACAACAGTACGGCTAGCACGAAAAACTTTCGAGTTCCCGTTTGCGTACTCGAAACGCCATCAAAAGAAAACTACAACAGCGCCCTTGTGAACGTGTCGTAAAGTGAACTTAGTATGAGATGTGGTTGCACAAAACTTATTTTGAGAATGAAAATTGTCACGTTATCGTATAATTCGAAGATTGAGTATCGAATTTTATCGAGTACGCAAACGATTCGAAGACGAAAGTTGTTCATGCTAGAGGTACCGATCATACTCGTAGTCGTAGTTTGTGATTAATTTAATTAAACAAGTTCTTAGTTATCCATTTATTTCACAGTAAAAGTATCCTTAAGTAAGTACCTATTTATGTAAATTTTGCGATTAAATACAAAGTCATTCAAATGAAGTAATTAATAACCTAAATAATAGAAACACACAAAATTAAACGATTATGTGTATTTATTTATGTTAATTTTACGATTAAATATAAAGTTACTTATTTAAATAAATTAATTAAATAATAGAAACATACAAAATTAAACGATTTCTTTCACGATTAGGTACTTAAAGCAACATAATATCGTTTGTTATGTAAGATAGGAGTTACATCTGCCTAGGTGTAAATATTTATTTATAATCGCTTTTCTTTTTAAAGACTATGCATAGTGAAGTTGGAGTTGTGGGCGTGAAATGTTATCTTCCACTTTATACCCAGTTCGTCTTTAATCTTTCTGCCAATCTTCAAAATGGCCTTTTCGTCTGTTTTGTCGGCAAGCCAAATACCTGTATAAAACGGAAAAGCATGTGAAAAAACCTCTACATCGGCTATTTTTCCCGAGATTTACACTAAATTGCAATAAAATGTAACCAACCGCAACTTAGCTACCTAAGTATCTATAATTATACTTAAGTATTGTTTTTATTAAATATAAAAATTATAATATAAAAAGTAGCGTATGAAATAATACAAAATGGAGCTTATGCAGGATTTAATCTTACCTATTTTGCTCTTATTTTGTTTTGCTTTCGCATTCACCACTGCTCCACGAATCGCGCTATTGGCATTTTCAAAGTTTTCCCCGATCATTAAGAGAACCTGAAAGTATCCAAAAAACTTGCTAAGCTGACTGGGCACACATTTTAGTAAGGTACAAAATTAAATTAACTAAAATTCTCATCCATCTAATATTGTTAGTAATAATGGATAATTAACTACAACTAGGTACGTAGACTGATAGATAGACATAGGCCATAGGGCAATTCAGACTAAGGTGGTAGGTACGGTGGTACAGTGGAATTATTTTTACTCCTGCTACCTCATCATCATTTCAGCCACAGGACGTCCACTGCTGAACATAGGCCTCCCCCAACGACTTCCACATCGCACGGTTGGTAGCGCCCTGCATCCAGGGCCTTTCTGCTAACTTTATCAGGTCGTCGGTCCACCTTGTACCCGTACGTCTCACGATCTTTCTGCCTAATAGGAAGAATTTACGGACTCCATTCAATAGATAATGTGAAATTGTGGAAACAGGTTTGTTCTTACTTTGTAACATTATGGATTGAGTAGCTAATAAATAAATAAATATCCTTGGACATTTTACACTGCGCCGCTAGCCCCATACTAAGCAAAGCTTGTAGGTACTATGGGTACTAGACAACGGAAACATTCTTAATTTTTTTTTAATACGAGTAGTTACATACCTACATAAATCATAGAAAACACCCAGACCCATCACAGAAATTAAAAATTCATCATTTCAATTTCTGCCCGGCCGGGAATCGAACCCGGGACCTCTCGACATAGTAGTCCGTTCTGTACCACTACAACTCACCAAACGGCCGACTACGTGTCAAGTTCATCAGTGCCTCTACCATGAGTTGCCATCGAAAACTTGTATTCGTATACTACAGTCGATAGAGTTTAAACGTGGATCGATGAAGTTTGCATTAAAATCATACCATGAGTTCAATTACCGTATACTTTACTCGCCAGCGATAATTCGATGGTTTTGTGATGTCATGTTGGTGAACATGTAAACGTATCCAACTTCACACTCTATGAATGGATGAATGAAAGAACGAATGCCGCTCCTTTCTAACTATATAGAAAAGATAGAGTAGGAAATAACAAAAATGTCAAAAATAACACTGCAAAATTTAAGTGTCCTAGAACAGTGCTTAAAGCTGAATTAACATGATGATTTTAAATTTGTATTGTTTATTTCTTGTCATTGCGACTTTGACGCAGCTGTTGTCATGACAACAGATAACAAAACATGTTTTGTTGAAGGATTATTGATGACGACCTTCACCAGATCGTCTGTCCACCTAGTGGGAGGTCTGCCCACATGCAGATAACATGTTCCATCGTAATAAACTTCTTTCCGACATAATTTAATAAAGAAAACACCTAAAATGACCTAAAACCACAATTTTATTTTGCTTTTCACACGTCAATAAGCCAGTGAGTTACGTTACTATGACAGCTAAGGTATTTTTCGATGACATCTTTGAAAATTGCAACTCATGGTAAGTTATTTGTATGAAACTTAATAAAAACTTTAGTCGCTATCGTATTCAATTAGATAGGTTTTTTACCTAACGATTTGAGATGAACTCATGGTAGTGTTTTTAGTTTTGCTGTGGTTCAGCTACTAACCGCTAGAGGCGCTGTACAATTTGCCATACATTTTTTACGCCCTCGATAGCGAGATGCTCGGTAGGTAAACTCATGGTAGAGGCACAGATACATACAAAGTTATGTGTAGGTATTGTGCGGGAGTACGAGAATGAAATCAGACCACCACCACCCATGTTTCTTCCTGCCTCACGGCGTACGAACCGAATCTCGGAAGAGCGCGCGGGTACTTGCTCTGGGCTCTTTTCCCCGGGCGCTTTGCTTGACTCCCTAAAAATTTATCTGATCCATGTCCCTTCTCATAGTCAATTCTCCCCCTTTTGAGGCTTGACACCACAAATACGGTACTTCGCGTCAGTCTGACTAATCAGTATAAACTAGGACTCACCACTTCGACCCATATCCTGTCCATCTCGTCGCACTGCCGCTTCTCTAGCGTGACGAGCCAGCGGCCGCCGCGCCGGTTGGCGGCGTCCTCCCACTCGGGCCGCACGCCCCGCTTGAACACGAAGTACTGGCAGCCGGGCGACAGCTCCGAGGGCAGCTTTATGTGGTGGTAGAGACTGTGGAAAACATTGGTTACAAGCTAGAAAACTCTTCTATTTCTGTTAGAAGACAAAATAGAAATGTGCTTAGAAGCACAGTATAATACTAATAGTACAGATACATCATCCCCTACTCGAAACGTGGCCGACCTAAGCTGGCAAATGCTTCGGGCCCACTCGGTTTCCTGCGGGCGTCGTCATCGCGCTAGTGTGCCGCAGCGGACTTGTCCGTCCCGCGGTCCGCGACCCGCGAGTGCTCGCAACTAAAGCCCGGTCTGTGAGCACGTAGAATTTTGTCCAATGACCCCAAGCTACCCATCCTTATCACTCGCGCGTAATTATGTATTTATTTGGCGTGCTATATCAAACGTAACGCGATTGGCGGCGTCCTCCCACTCGGGCCGCATGCCCTGCTTGAACACGAAGTACTGGTGGTAGAGACTGTGGGGAATATTCGTTAAAAGCCAGCCGATTTAAAAATCACGCGCTTTTCTTTCTTTTTTATATAAGTAGGCTATTTGTATTTACAAATTCAGAATAGAATCAGAAATGAGGAGATTCGTAAACGAACTAAAGCCGCTGGCATAGCCCAACGGATTAGCAAGCTGAAGTGGCAATGAGCAGGGCACATAGTAGGTACACAGAACTGACGGCCGATAGGGCAGCAAGGTTCTGTACCTCTAGTACGAAAAACTTTCGAGTTCGTTTCGTTTGCGTATTCAAAGTGTCATCGAAAAATTTTGTATGAAAAATTAAACAGCGCCCCCTAGGGCGGCTATAATATAGGGGGCGCTGTTTAATTTTTCATACAAAATTTTTCGATGACACTTTGAATACGCAAACGAAACGAACTCGAAAGTTTTTCGTACTAGAGGTACCTACTGGAATGGAGGCCGCGTGTGACGTCCACCCACAAGGTGGACCGACGACATCATAAAAGTAGCAGGGAAGCGCTGGACGCAGGCTGCTACCAATCGATCATCATGGAAAGCATTGGGCGAGGTCTATGTTCAGCAGTGGACGTCCTATGGCTGAAATGATGATGATGATGATGATTTACAAATATTCATAAGTACTTATTATCAGAAACCCTGAGAAGGACATCTTACATCGTATCTAATGGGAAATTGGGAATCCACGTTCCTCTTAGACTTACACTAATGTCGGTCGGGTGTGGAAATAAGTATAAATCTACCTAAATTAAGTAGGTACCTACATGTTGGATGTATGATGTATTAAATATGTTATCTGTGCCTCTACCATGAGTTTACCTACCGAGCATCTCGCTATCGAGGGCGTAAAAAAATGTATGGCAAATTGTACAGCGCCTCTAGCGGTTAGTAGCTGAACCACAGCAAAACTAAAAACACTACCATGAGTTCATCTCAAATCGTTAGGTAAAAAACCTATCTAAATGAATACGATAGCGACTAAAGTTTTTATTAAGTTTCATACAAATAACTTACCATGAGTTGCAATTTTCAAAGATGTCATCGAAAAATACCTTAGCTGTCACAGTAACGTAACTCACTGGCTTATTGACGTGTGAAAAGCAAAATAAAATTGTGGTTTTAGGTCATTTTAGGTGTTTTTTTTATTAAATTATGTCGGAAAGAAGTTTATTACGATGGAACATGTTATCAGCATGTGGGCAGACCTCCCACTAGGTGGACCGACGATCTGGTGAAGGTCGCGGGAAGAACCTGGATGCGGGCACATTGTGGAGATCCTTGGGGGAGGGAGAGGATGCTGCGTTTCCCAGAGATATGCGAGTGAATTGTGTCGTGCTAAGATGTCTAGCTGTGCTGTGAAAATGTGTGCGGGTTTCCACCAAAGCTGTGCGAGGAAAATGTATCGTACGAGGATGTGTAGCAGAGATTTGAAAATGCTCATTAGTGTTGTACAGCCTGAGCCTTTTCTACCAGAGATGTGCTGACCGAGGCGAGGTAAATGAAGCGATTCTATTGGTTCTTTACAAACACATCCTTCGCTACGCATCCTCGCACATCTCTGGTGGAAACGCAGCCTTACGAGATCATGATAGAAAGCTAATCCGACAATGAATATGTATTTTCATAAGTTGAAATTTACTTTTGTTTTTAATCAGTCTGTGTATTATGTATTAGGTTTTGTGAAATAAATAGTCAATAAAAATTAATCATTTTATTTTCAACTAGCTTTTGCCCGCGGCTTCGTCCGCGTGAAATTTAGTTTGTCACAGATCGTCATAATTATAGCCTATATGTTAATCTGGGTTATAAACAATAATACTGTAAAGTTTCATCAAAATCCGTTCAGTAGTTTTTGCGTGAAAGAGTAACAAACATCCAGACATCCAAACTTTCGCATTTTTAATATTAAGTAGGATATTAGTAGGATATGTATTTACTTAATTATTATTACTGACGAGATTGCTACCATGTATGTTTAGTGACCATGAAAGATTAAAACAATATAATGTATTTAATTAATTATAATATCTTAAGTTTTACAATAATAAGGTAGGTATATCCATCCAGTTACCCTAGGTCTTTATTATGGATTTAATTTACAAGTAGTTATTTACAAGCACTCTGCTCTAAATCCTTTGGCTTCAGGGAAGAACCTGGACCGCCACCAGTCCAGTGTTCCCTTGGCAGCTCTGTGTATGCGAGTTGCCTTCTTCTTGCTGTTTAAAGTCACTCCACACCTTAACAAATAAACATTACAAATAATAATGACGAAATAAGATAAAAGCAATCAAAATGAATAAAGTAGTAGGTATTTATACACACTTTTCTCAATTTCTCAGTAGTTTTCGTGTCGCCGGTGGCATCAGCATTTCACGTTCGCGTGTCCGTTAGTTCCACCCACCGTTGACTATTGTTGGCTCTTTCTTGGGGCCCTTCAGTGGGCATACTCAGATCGCCATATCTATAGAAAAACAACTTTATTGTATCTAGAAAATATAAATCTAGCACTCATATTACTGAATTTTAGCTAGGCACGTGGAAGTTATGCTGGAAAGGTTGTATTTCTCCAAAAAAACCAGCTCAAAATTATTCGTTTAATATCGAAATTCCTCCACCACCCTAGTATGTTTATTTTTACTTAACTTACCTTTCCATAAATTCTACAATCGGTTTAAACGGATAGGCGCAGGTTCTCATTTTCCTATCGTGGTTAAAATCCAATTATTTGTGGAAAATTAATCATCAATAATCCTTCAACAAAACATGTTTTGTTATCTGTTGTCATGACAACAGCTGCGTCAAAGTCGCAATGACAAGAAATAAACAATACAAATTTAAAATCATCATGTTAATTCAGCTTTAAGCACTGTTCTAGGACACTTAAATTTTGCAGTGTTATTTTTGTCATTTTTGTTATTTCCTACTCTATCTTTTCTATATAGTTAGAAAGGAGCGGCATTCGTTCTTTCATTCATCCATTCATAGAGTGTGAAGTTGGATACGTTAACATGTTCACCAACATTACATCACAAAACCATCGAATTATCGCTGGCGAGTAAAGTATACGGTAATTGAACTCATGGTATGGTTTTAATGCAAACTTCATCGATCCACGTTTAAACTCTATCGACTGTAGTATACGAATACAAGTTTTCGATGGCAACTCATGGTAGAGGCACTGATTATCTTTGGTATGACGCACCGCATTGCATCATCTTTTTGTCCCTTCAAGCCCCGTGAATCGAAACAAAATTGACATCAATTTTATTGTTACGCGGTCATATTATGCGGCCGCTTGGGGATTGATGGTAGGTATAGCCTGGAGGTTCGACCAAAACAAGGCGATCAGCCTGCGTGCGCGATGTCGATCAATGCATTTAAGCCTGATCGCCATCGCCATTGTGCACGCCGACTGCACGCGTTGGTTTGCATGATAGGGCGGTGCTACCTGGGCGTAGACTCTGGGGGAACAAGAATTAAATGGCCGCAGGCTTTACGGCACTGACAGCACTCACCACCAGTAGTCCTCGACCGTGTCGAAGGAGGTGAGCTCGATGAGGTCGTCCTTCCAGTTGCGCGTCCTCTCGGCGTACAGCCACATGCCCCACGTGTTCTCCAGCGGATGCTTGGTGGGCTCCGCCGGCGCATCCTCCTGCTTAACCTTCTCCGGTTGGGGCGGTAACTGAGAATAGTATCGGATTATTTCAACTACAAACTCACAACTAAAGCTTTTACGTGTTTTTAACAATCCTAATCAAAAATTAAAAATGAAAAAAGTAAAATAACAATACAACGATAACAAAAACAATTACGCCCGTATTCACAAACATTACTATGAGGTCTCACAGGGCTCGTGGACGCATAGGGCCACACACGAACCAATCACAGAGCTTTATTCAATGCTGTGCGTTCGATTTGCTGCTTCACTTAAGCAAGCATCGTTTGTGAAAGGGTGTTAGAACCGGGCGCCGCTCGAATATTGTGGTGTACTTTAGACACAACTTTAGAGGTGTTTTGTTTTTATTAAGTTTTTTTTTCAGGTGAGGTAGTTATCATGTAGATATTGACAATCAGCCCCAAACCTCTTTTCAACATTTCGGATGCTATTTCTAGCATAGCCTAGCCGTTATGAAAATCGGTAGGGTGATGTACCTACCTATGTATTAAATGTGTGCGGTGGAAGATTGATTGATTGGGTGTGGCGTATGGCTCTATATTTATCGATGACCTACCCACTAATTAATTTATCAGCACAGAAATACTTAATTTATAATAACTAAGTACCTAACTAAGTAAATTACAAAACTTTACTGCATGAAATTACTCACCACTGGCAGTTTTGTATTTGTCATCTTGAAGATAATTTAAATTCTGTCAGATAATTTAATAAAAAAAATCAAAGCCTACTTTAATTGTAACGATTACTTAGTAAGAAAACTGAGTAGGTAAAGCAAAACTTTTCAGGAACTCGACTGGTAGATGGTGCACTTTCAACAACAACGCTATCGAGTGGTCCAGTCCACTCAAGTTGCAACTTGCAAAAACAACAGTCATACAATTCAGTGTTTAGGTCAGCGGTTCCCAAATAGTGCTCACCAAACCCTACATGGGCGTGAATGAGAAGTTTCTAATGAGCAGTGCCGTACCTAAATAGTGCGTTCCTAACTTCCTACGCTGAGAACGATTCTGATAATTGTAAGTGTAAGGCCAATCCTACTACTCTGCTAGAGAATAAGAATTAAACCTGTTTTCAGATATAAACTCAACGTCAATCAGCAAGAGAAAAGTATCCACACTGCGAAGACATTTCAGCTCTTTGTTGGCTCGCTAGACCTTTTTTTTCGTCGGGAAATGCTTGGCCTTTGACCCACTGGCCGAATGGGGGCGGCCAGTGGATTATGTGGGGCTCTCACAACTAAAAGAGCGGGGCCTACCCACTAAAACCCGACGGTGTCCTCCGGGGCCATTGACACGGAGGCTAAGTCAATGCTCAGCATATTCCTTCCTCGCAGATTCAATTGCGAAATGTTTTTGCTATTCCTTACATACTTCTTTTTAGGATGCAATTTTCTTCCAGTATCGTGAATCAATTTAAAATATAAGGATCGCGCATGCGCTTGCTAATACATAATCTTATCATCGCCCACTTGATTGATACGGAATCAGCGCAAGTTTGAGAACCCTAGTTTAGATAACATCTCAGGAATTCCCCGAAGTATATTTAATTTTATCATTGGTGTTGCTAGTACTGTGGCAGTAATAACTTTTTTATTTCACAGTCGTAATCTATTTTTTTTTAAAACCTACTAATAACCAAAATCAGTGCAACTGTGCATATCATAAGCCCACTGCAGTAGAGGGAAAAATGTAAAAGCTAACGAAATTAGTCCCAGTTAATGAATTGAGATCTCAATTTAAGTACATACTCAACTTTCCGTGCGCGACCTACATCTTTTGCACCGGTTTGGACAACTATCTTCAATCATACTGAAATTAAAGTATGTCTATGATGTCTACTTTTAGAGAAGTAGGTAACAGGAACTTGACTTACTTGGAGGAACATGAGAAATCCCATTCAGATTCCAATAACCTCAGTCAGTACCTAGACTTCAATTTCAACTGATCATGCCGAAATCATCATGTTAGAAAGCAGGAGTTATTAAATAAAAAAACGTCCATTATTTTAGTACTTTTTATATAAAATACCAAAATATAATATTATGTATGTAGTTTTGACTGACACAAATACCAAAATAATAATAATGCCAAGATTGTTACAGGTGCAAAGGTTTTACACAGCATAATCGTTGCTAAACCAAAGTATTTGACGTGTTAACATAAAGCGTGGTACATAGATACTGCAAATTACTGTTAGGATTTTAAAATATTAAATAACGTGTATCAAATAAACTATACTAGTCGACGCACTCAGCCATAATATGGGCTGACGTGAGTCTTCCATCAGCTCCACTAAAACACAAATCTTTGCTCACGAAAAGAAACTGCAACCACAGAGGCTTAGATAAACAAACTTACACCTATGTGACCATATCGACAAACATACTCAAGCACAGCTTTAGTATAAAAATCAGACTTAAATTTTAATAGTTCGTAAACAACGACTTTTTACAATGATATTATTGGTAAGTTATATTACGACACAAACTATCAAAAAGTCAACCTAAAGAGTACCTACTTCAGTTAAATAAAAATATTCCATTATTTTAGAAGCGTAACAATGCTATGAGATAACTAGATTTAAACTTAGGGCACGTCAGACTTATGTAGTTACATTGAACATTATTGCAACCGTCTATTACAATGCCAATGCACTGACAGTCTAGCACCAAGTCTCGAAGTTATCGCACCACTTGTTACGGATTAACTGGACTATTAAACAGTGTATAGATTCTTGGTGGCCGAACTGTGCTTGACCATGGTGTCTCTGTGCACTTGGAATCCGATTTTTCCATGAATACCAAGCTGCTCCTTCAGTTTCCTTCCGATCTCAATGTTGGCATGTTGCTTTGACGTATCAGCGGTCCAGATACCTGGAATAATAATAATTATTTATTAATTAAAGAATGGAGAGTGTGAATGAGATGATAAATTCAGTAACAATAAATGGATGGATATGAGATTTTCATAATGATTGACACAATTACACAACATTTTACTTAAAAAAAATTAATTTGAATTTGAATACTTTCCAGCTGCCTATTAGGTAGTCCATTAGGTATGTAATGTGACTATCATAACATAAAGAAGCACTCCTCTTATTTACTTACACAATTTCAATAAATAATACCAATAGATTTATTTATCACAAAAATTCAATCATTAATCAGATGATGAATTCAATACTCACCAATTTTATCCAGTTTAGCTCTAACATTAACAACAGCTCCACAAATTTCCTCAGAGTGTTCAAAGTTTTCACCAATGAGAAGTAGAACCTGAAATATTATTTACATTTAAAATTAAACACTAATAATATTAACAACATACATTAATTAGACTCTAAGCATTTATCATGTTTTTCTTTCTATTAAACTAGAACATTTCTCATTTATGAAAGATAATAAAACTCAACATACAAAGATTGAGCTGGATTTGGTTTGATAATGTAAAACAATGACTCACCACATCTAGCCAGAACCGGTCCAGATCAGAATTACGTTGTTTCTTCTCAAGACTGATGAGCCATCGGCCACCCATTTTGTTGGCATCATCTTCCCACATAGGACGAATTCCTTGCTTGAACACCGCATAGTCGTGGCCTTGGCGGAGCTCAGATGGTAATTTAATGTGGTGGTATAATCTGTAATGTTCCAAATTACCTTCAATTAGATACACAATACATCGGTCTTTAAAATTATAATTTAAAGCAATAAATTGTGATTGCAAGACACAAATTGCAATGAAATCCAATATAAACTTCGAATACCAGTATTTTTTTTAATAACCACTAATGATTATGAAACTGATTGCATGTTTCCATAACCAGACTGATTACTAATTATTAGCGTTCATAAATCTGCAATCAGGCAAGCATTGCAACCAGGCTGATTTAATACATAATATAATAATAAAAACTACACTCACCTCCAGAAATCTTCCACCGTGTCAAATGTGGTCAGCTCAATAAGGTTCTCTTCCCAGGTCTTATTTCTGTCATTATCATAAAACCACAGGCTCCATGTATTCTGCAGGGGGTGCTTGATCAGGAACTCTGGGGGGACCTCGGCATTGCTGTTGGTCTTGGTCTCAGTAGTGGCAGACCCCTTGAATACACAAGTCATTTTTTTTGTTAATCCTAACCTCTAACTACTACAAACGTAATCATACAACTGCTCAAAAATTGTATACAGATTCTTTCAAACGTTAATTAACACTCCGATTTATTAGCAAATCAAATTAATAAGCAAAAAACCGGTGAACATGAAACAAATGCTACAGTGAAAGTTAGTCCAGCCACATCAGCATAGCGCACTAAAATTTATGAGGGTAAGATTTATTATGACCGAATAGAGGTAGCGAAATATTTTCTGGGTAGATTTTCTTAATTCTACCCACCTCAACTTCTTCAGTATTATTTCCAGCCATGTCACAAAAATCTCTCGATTCCCGATTTTTTACCAAAAGGCAGACAGCGATGTTTAGTGTTGCATGTTAAAAAATTAATAATATATGTATAAAAAATAAATTATTACGATAATGCAACGGTTATGTGTTCGTAATTTTTTTCTTATGTGCCTGCCTGCCTTATGAGCGATACACATCACATTTGTAAATTTTGCGAAACTATAACCCAAAAACCTGAAGGTGGAAGAAGATTTGCACTATCATATCGGTCTAGAAAAGGTTCAGTGGTTACGTTCGTATTTTGATTTTTGTCGCTAACATAGCCATTGCATTAAAAGAAAATGCCATTTGAACTTTGTTCAAAGCTTAAACCACCACACAAAAAAAAATCTACTGACAGTAATGACATTTCCCCTTTTCCCCATTTTCATTGATTCTCTTGCTGCCGGTCCCGTCCCGTCCAGTAGTATAATCTTAATTCCATATTTAACAAAACTTTAAGGTCAAAATGTCGGTACAAACCCTGCTCTTGGACTTCTCTATCGAGGCCGCCCGATTGGGAGATGAAAGCGGTCAGAAAACTGTATTTGGACAGATTGAAACAGTACTCAAAGAGTACATCCCCAACCTTATTTTAGCCGCTGATATTAAAGTTGATGGTGGATCTCTGAAAATAATGACTGGAAAGAAAGGCACAACCGTATCAGTAAGATTGTTTGACCGGGGTCTTGTCACTGTAAATATTGAATATTACAAGGAAGACAACGAAGAGCCGCTAATAAGTTTCAAGGTAAAGACAATAATAGCTATTTAATGCTCATTCAAACGCCGAGTATTTAGTTATCATTACTGAACTTTCTGAAGCTGAATTGTTTACTTTGAAACATTTGACTTTCCTGACTTCTGTTTCAAAGTTAACATGGAAAATTCAATGAAATTAATTCAAGTATTACATAATTTTCTTACTTTGTTTATTTTACATAATTTGTAATTTATAAAAACAGTAAAATTTGCTTTAATAACTTACTTTTTGAAATACAATCTTGATCAGTATTTCTCCAAACACACACTTTAAATATTAATATTTAATTATTAAGGTTGAGCGTTGCATCTTGTTTTAGACATCTAAACTACTGGAAAGTTCGGTAAGAAATGAATTACAAACTGACCGTCTCAAATTGTTACCCACAATCAAACGTGGATATAAATTTGATGTGTATCTTACTAGTTCAGGTATCTATTGTTTTACAAGAGTTTTATTACTTTATGAACCTAAATGCACAACTTTTTTTTTATGGATTCTTCTTTATTTTATCTTTTTATTTATATTTGTTATATTATTTATGCAATTTCTTAACAGTAATATTTGTTTAAATCAGTATTCCATATTTAATAACCCTACTGAATTTCTATGAGTGTTATTTCTATAAAATGTAAAGTCAGTTTCAGTCCTTGGGACTAATTTTATTATGGAACAAAAAGTATGGAATTCTGATTATTATGGGAAAATATTTTTCTTAAGCTTGTCGTAGCTTCAGGAAAATTATATTCTGCAAAAACCATTTGGAGAGAGACACCAGGCTTTGCAGAACACGGCATTTCGTTTTTCATTTAACAATTTATTTCATTTTGTTATTTAACATCAAACTTTAACTATTAAATGCATCATATTTATAAAAAAAAAATGCAAAAAACTAATATTTGTGTGTGTCCAAGTTTACATGTGAGTTACAAATAGTACCTATTAACACTGCAGTACACGCGCCCCTTTTTTTACACGAATACACGCGCGGCCTACTCTGGTAAGCCAATTTAAAATCACTGTAAATCAGTTTGTAAGCAATTTATGAATAAAATAATTATGTAAATGATAAAAGTGTTTATTATAGTTATTTTACTATCAAAGTTTCTTTATATAACTATTTGGGATCAAACATTATAAATAGATTTAAAAGTTGTAAATTTTTTGGACCAAAATTGCACTCTGAGACCAATGTTAACAAAAAAAATTTACTGAAAAAATATGATTAGATTTTTATCTTTCATAGTATTCATTACTTTCTACGGCCTGGTACACTGTGTAAATCCATTTGCTGCAAGTCTTTTATAATTTTTTTGTCGAGTGATTTCAGGCTTTTGAGTAAACCCGCAGTTTGGACGGCAAATTTTAGAAAAGTGCGCAGACTCTAGCGACCCAAGCTTTACTGGCTTACTGACAAATTTAGTAAACGAGGCTTTCCTGGAATGCCAGCTCTCTGGCGCAAGTTTTCAAAAAGTTATAGCGTAAAATGTTACCCTGGTCTACTATAGTAGTCCGCGCGTGTACTCTAGTGTTAACAAAAAAAAACTATTCAGCAGAAATAAGTTGAATAACAACAGCAATATTCCTAACTGCTATTGATGGCAACACTAGCAATTGTTTAGCTTTAAAACCTAATATCAATATTTAGATAGAATCCGCGTATTCGTTAACGCTCCTTGCATGATCCGAAGTAGGAACGCTTTCTCGCCCAGTCCCGTCGCGCTAGACTCCCTGTCTCGGCCTACACTTTAGAAACAAAAAACGACGTGTGTTCGATAATAATTCGCGCCCGCGTAGCAACCGCACCACCTGTGCTGTAGAGTCTACAGTGTAGACCACGCCTAAGTGGACACAAAAGGCGTTGTTTTGAGTTTGGCGATTCGCGCTCGTCGAAAAAGAAACCGTAATAGGGTTGCTATGCCTTTTACGCTGAATAAAATACATTTTTGGTACAGATATTATGATTCCTGTATTAATGACATTAATCAACAACAATGCTACGTCTATTTGTTAGATAGGAAACTCGACTTTAAAAGTAAATGTCGAGTCTTGTAGAATTGCCGCATACATGTAGGTACTAATGTTTTCATATGACTTGTAAAACAAACGTCGGAAAAATAACTAGTGCGCCGCGGCGCGGGCACGGGACACAGGACAACTTTTCAGCTATAACTAGCCTACGCACGTTACGTCCCATAATGTATCTGGGACTTTGTAATGTTCGATTTATATGTAGGTCTAGTATGAAAACCGTGTTTCATGTCATAAACAATTTGAATTTGAAAAACCGGTGTAAATAATGTGCCGTCTGATTAATAAGCTTTCTAAAATAAAATAAAGCACTAGAACAAGGATGCACAAACGACCCGTACGGTTAGCCAGCGCCCTAATAAAAATTACAACCTGAACCTTTATTCAGTTGTTTTTAACGGTCCCGTATATTTTCTGTGGCCCGCTATTGGCCCCTATCTGCCCTAGTGGCCCCACCTGGTCCCAGTAAGTCTGTGCATCCCTGCACTAGTGCAAAATCGAAACTAGTTCGAAACCAAATGGTGCCAATTAAAAAACATTGCTTTAACAATGGTAAAATAAGTTAATCAAACACATACACATTGTATAATTAAAGCTTGAATTATTAAACATCACGCAAAACATTAGTTATAATACTTTCATAGCATGTATTTACCTACTACAAATGGATATTAATATTAAACATGCGTGTTGCTCGCTATGTTGGGTGTAGTTGACTGTTTATACTTAGAAAATAAATAACAAAGTATTAAAACTGACTCGAAAAAAGTTTACTAAAACGTAGAAAAATAATTTAGTTATTTATTTACTAAGACTGAGTAGGACCATGATTGATGTTCTCGGAGTCAGTCCTGCCTGGGGCACTATCGGCACCGACAAAATGCTATTCGAAACTCATGCTCTTAGAATTATAACTAGTTGATCAAATTAAATTAAAATTGTATGGAACCAAATGGCAAGTATTCCAAAAAAATAATCACGTCAATCGAATCACAAATCTCGACGTACCTAATCGGTGTACCATCACCCACAGTGTTAACTATCCATTGCCTGTCATGTCGTCTCGTTCTATCGCAAAGAATCACCATTTGATTAGAGCGAGAGCAAAAACGGAAATAGATAGTTAACAGTGTGGCTGTGTGTACGTACATACATAAAAAGTCCGATTTGTGTACCTCCTCCTTTTGTTGAAGTCGGCTAAAAAAGAACCTTCTGGTGTCCATGAAAAGTGAAAACGCTCAACCTTAAGTTTAACATAATTATAATCCGCATGTTAGTTGAACCTTCATTAATTCAGTTTGTTTTTTCCTTCCTTTCCAATTATTTTGGTAATAGTCGGCGAGAATATTGGAAACACAGCTGAAAAAATACATCACTATCATAAAATCGCAAGCTTATGCCCCGCTAAAAAGGTGCCTGTTCAGCAGGTACTACCCGACATCAGGTAAGCCCAATGCAATGTCTATTAGGAGACTAGGTATAAATTAACATTAGGAATATTACAAACAAGAGGCAACAATATGAACTTGAACTTCCTTGCACAAGTTTGAGCCGTCAGATGGCAAATGGCAATCTAAAACCTAAATTCTGAAGTCTCCTAATAGTACATAATTGTCATTTTAGCATATTTTAGCCAGATAGTAGCTAGCATTGAAGGACTAAAGCCTCCACTGCAAAAAAATATATTGATTGCACACAAACATTCGTTAGCAACAATGCTTATGTAGGTAGGTACTTGTTATGCTGTACCTACTAAGCGCAGCATTTTCCGAAAAAAAAAACTGGATAAAAGCGAATCAATTTTCCAAAGTGAAGATGCGGACATGCGCTTTGTTGTTAACGATGTACAGTCGTAAAAACAGAGACTGAGTACACAGTAACTCCCAAAAATAAAGTAATGTACATAACAAAGTTTGGTCTAGTCATAGAACTCAAACTCAATCAATAGTTTTATAATGCCTGTATTATTTGCTTACTGTTTATAATTTCATCAACGATTTATTAATAAGTTTATTGTGTTTTCAGATGAAAGGCTCCTGGAATATGACATTGATGACGTGGTCTTTGACGAGCAGTCCCCTTTCCAACGCGTCCAGATTGTGCACTCGAAAACATTAGGCAATATGTTGGTGCTAGACGATTTACAAAGTAAGCCACTCAACATCATATAAAGATACAGTTATAGTCAATTAGCTCGTGATACCCAAAGTAGCCAAAAAGTACGCAACATTTCATTGTTACATTTATTGGAATAAGGTGGTGTTTTAACTACACTCGCGAGCAAAAGTATGGAATCACTTACATGAAGTTGTTTCCACGCGATCTTGTGTACTAACGAATTTGTTAGTAACAAAAAAAGTGGTACCATTTTAAAGATTAAACTTTTATCTTTAAATTGATACCAAATTCATTTAAATCACACCAGTATTTAAAAAGATATTCCGGCTGATGTGAAGAAGTAACGAAAAAGACATGTTAAAAGCACGCGTCGGATTTTTTGCTTTCACACGTTGATTCATACACATCTCCGCTTCTTTTGACACTTTTCCTGGTATTCTACACCTTCAGAAGCAGCAGAAATCGTTGTACTATTGCAAGAAGGGCTCAGCCAGCGGGCTGTCGCACGTCAGCGCCACATAAGCCAGTCCTGGGTTTCGAAAGTTTTAAGACGCTTTCGGGAGACTGGTGGCTTTATCCCGAGACCAAGTTCTGAACAGCGCCGGTGCACATCGCAGAAGGAAAACCGTTTTTTCATGTCAAACTCTCTATGAAATCGTCATTTGACTGGAATCGACGTCCAGTAAGAGCTCAGAAATGTTCGTAGGATAGCTGTTAGTGAGTGGACAGTTCGTCTAAGATATAAGCAATAGAATTTGACTGCAAAAAGGCCTGCCACAGGCTCGAAACTGACGGCAGGTCACCGATAAGCACGCTTTCAATTTGCTCGTACACATCTCGATGGGAAGTCGAGCAAGCCATCCCCATAAGCCACTGTTTCAGCGAACCAGCACTGCACAAATCGCTCCCCGAGCCGCCTACAAACCCAACCTCTTCGACTGCTGCACTGTGTTTGACACAGTCTGCATTCATCGGAGAACAGAACTCGCCTTCCCATCGAGATGTGTACGAGCAAATTGAAAGCGTGCTTATCGGTGACCTGCCGTCAGTTTCGAGCCTGTGGCAGGCCTTTTTGGAGTCGAATTCTATTGCTTATATCTTATACGAACTGTCCACTCGCTAACAGCTATCCTACGAACATTTCTGAGCTCTTGCTGGAGGTCGATTCCAGTCAAATGACGATTTCACAGAGAGGTTGATATGAAGAAACGGTCTTCCCTCTGCGATGTGCACCGGCGCTGTTCAGAACTTGGTCTCGGGATAAAGCCACCAGTCTCCCGAAAGCGTCTTAAAACTTTCGAAACCCAGGACTGGCTTATGTGGCGCTGACGTGCGACAGCCCGCTGGCTGAGCCCTTCCTGCAATAGTGCAACGATTTGTGCTACTTGTGAAGATGTAGAATCCCAGGTAAAGTGTCAAAAGAAGCGGATATGTGTATGAATCAACGTGTGAAAGCAAAAAATCCGACGCGTGCTTTTATAGGGAGTAAATAGGCCGCAACTCGCGACGTATCAAACAGTTGATACATGTCTTTTTCGTTACTTCTTCACATCAGCCGGAATATCTTTTGAAATACTGGTGTGATTTAAATGAATTTGGTATCAATTTAAAGATAAAAGTTTAATCTTTAAAATGGTGCCACTTTTTTTGTTACTAACAAATTCGTTAGTACACAAGATCGCGTGGAAACAACTTCATGTAAGTGATTCCATACTTTTGCTCGCGAGTGTATTTGAGCACTGGTGTCACGACTATTTGACGCTGACTGTACCTTTCTTATATTATTTCTAATTGTTGTAGCAACAACTTTGTTACCTAGTCATAAATGGCTTAACGGTTGGTAAATGAAGGCGACAGTGTTATCAATGTTTAATCTTGTTACGTTGTTACAGATATATCAGAAGCAGATCTTATATACACAGAAACATTAATGCAAAGAGGGAAAGAGAAATATGAAGGAAAAGAAATTGTTATATTAGGTAAGTGTACTCCAGAACATAACTGACCAAATGTGAATAAATGTGCTGAGTAGAATAATCTTTTTAAAATCATTGGTTGGGGTAAAATGGTAGGCTTTCATTAACCAATTCTATCCTAAACAAATTAATCAAGAATATAGTAAAAATCTGCCTTACCTGCCTTCCTGTTCCAAAGTCTAAGGTATTGCAAAGTCACATTTAGTAAGCTAAAATATCAGTAACATCATTAAAAACATTAATTAAAGTGACGATACCGTGTAGCGGAAAGAACGAAAATAACATTAAGCGATACAGCCGGATGCGTGAGTGGTGTCTGGCCGCTGTCTGCGCGCGGCGAGCGACGAAAATAAAGAATTACAACTATTTTGAGACGATGCCCTTCACGTATCATCATCATATTACATCATAATTAAGAGCTACTTTCATAACTCGCAACGCCATCACATTTCGTCATCAAAGTTAGACCCGCTTTCCACCAAGGCGTAGCGGAGAACTGTTTTGAATAACCTGGTTTCCTGAATAATGAAATCTTGATTGGTTATTAAAAACACTTCACCGCTCCGCCTTGGTGTAAAGCTGGACATTCATGGTCAGTTAAACTGACGTACAGACGATAGCGCTTCAAATTATACACAGCAATATCCTATTGAGTTGTGATAGGTGCTGTTTTGCAACTAAAATGTACCCCTTATAACCGTGGTCCCACCGCTATAACCCATTGGTGGGTCCATGGGTATTTTTTCCCTGTAGACCCAGTGCAATAGTTTTAAATTATCCTATTCAATCTGGCTGTTCCAGTGGATCCACGGGTAATTTCTTTAACTTTAAAGGGGAAAATGTATACATAGTCTGATGTGCCGAGAGCACGTATAACTAAAAATAAATCCAGTGCACAATTAATTTTAACCTTAACATTTTACTCACACTGTCAGTTTTGGGATGTACCTACGTCAATAGGGATGTTTCTTGGGTAAAAAAGCAAGAGTTTTAATTAGTCCGTCAGTTACCTTATCAAAAACTACTCGACACGTATTTTTCACTTTTTAAAACTAATGAAAATGTAAAGAGATAAAGCGTGCGAAAGATCTAAAGTAAAGGCCCGTGACGTCAATGAGTGCGTAAAAGTGACTTTGTGTCGTCGCGGCGTCGCTCGGAACTTCAACGCATCATAACTTTGTAATTATTATTTGTTTGATTGACAATTCAAAATATACGTGTCCAATATTTTTTTATATTAAAATTGACGGACTACAAAATTTTTTTTAGGAAACTAGCCTATTTAACTGACCGCGTGTGTCCAGCTTTATCTTCTTTCCGCTTCATAACAATTGACTAACATTGTTCAAAGGTGGCGGCGACGGTGCACTGCTATACGAACTCCTCAAGGAGAAGCCCAAGTTCGTATGGATGCTCGAAATAGACGAACTAGTGATGAGTGCATGCAACAAACACCTGAGGTCCATTTGCGGGGACGTTCTTGAGCAACGAAAAGGCCCGCATTACGAAGTAAATGACATTAATGTTCTACTTGCGTTTATAATAGGGAGATAGAGGTTGAATTCTGAAATAAGCATGAACTCTCACGTAACACATTTGAAATCTTTACTATGGGAATAATATCGAGGTCTATTTTTGTGCTCGTGACTGTACAAACTCTAACATTGCAATTAATATGATTTCGTATTTAGAACTCTAATCATTCTTAGCTTGTGATTGGTCTAAATGTAGAAATTCAACCAATCAAGCCTAAAATCCTAATGCATAATCTTCTTAGATCCAATATTTTTTATAATTGTACGTATCTTTCCTTTCAGATAATAGTCGAAGACTGCATGCTGACGATAAACAAATTCATAAAGGACAAAAAGAAGGTTGACTACATATTCGGCGACCTCACAGATATTCCCATATCGGACTCCGCGTGCGGGGAGCTATGGGAGTTCATGATCACGATACTGGAGTCTGCCTTCAAGATACTAAAGCCCGACGGGAAATTTATGACCCACGTATGTAGATATATCAAATTACTTATTACCCTGTGACGTAATTTTAAAAAGTAGGTAGGTTAGATATAGTGTATCTGTTTAACATTTTTTTAAAGACCCGTTAGCCCCCAAATCTGCTGACCCGACACCGACACCATTGGACTATTGTCGCTTAAAATGTGTAGGTATATTATGGAGTTTCAACAAAATGCTTCCAGTAGTTTGTGCTTGAAAAAGTAACAAAAATCCTCATAAATTAAATTTTTATGTACTCTCAGTCTCACAACGCGACAGGCGACATAGTATCTAACGGTGCTTCTTATCGACATCGGTGATCGGTCTCTTTGTTTGTTCTATACTCTTGCGAGTTGTTGTAGGTTTATAATCAGAACGTGTCTTACGAGCTTATCGAATACCAAAGAATGCAGCAGTCACGATAGATATTGGCCAGGTTTCAAAACCGTATCTATTTCCATTGGAACTGACTTACAATCTAGGTAGCATATAAATTAGTCCGTTTACGTGAATCTCATTAATATCTCGTGTTACGCAACAGTTAGGGCCGTAATATAAACTTAATATGAAAGATTTTGTATGTTTAATCTCAAACAAGCCTATCTTGTTTACTTTCAACTTACGCAATTTCTCATCGTGTGGGTTGTACAATTGAGAGCTATTATCTAGTAGCCCAACTACATAGGAGCTAAATTGCAATTGGATCTGCAAGGTCAGACAAAAATGGCAATGTAATACACTCAACATCAAATAAACCGCACCTTCCGCGACGCGAACTTTAAAGATTTTCTTCTGACACAATCATGGTACCCTGACAATATTGGTGTTATTTGAAAGCCCAATAAATATCCTTAAAGAAAAACACATTTAATTTCTTAATAAAAGATTAACATATACCATAAATGTGACTTGAAAGAAGACCTCACTTTGGGCTCACCTCTGGGATCAATTAGACCAAATTTTATGGTTATAAAACCAAATAATGATTACACGTGTCCTCTTTAACAGATGGATAGCGATTAATCCCAACTTAACTGAAACTGAAATTAGCACGTCACTACCTTGTTTAATATACCACGCAATCTTGTATACCCATTCTTATAAGATACACCATACAAGAATGCATGGTAAATTCAGTGAACTGCTCCTGAATCGAATGTACCTACTACTACTATTTCTATTTATTTATATTAACCGGCAGACAGTGGTGACTGAGTTTGTTGCGGCGCTTCTTCTCAGCACTTGCCAAATGTTGGTCTCGAAGCGCTGGTAGGGTAAAAAGATTATGAGACATGTAGAGGCTCCTTAAGAGCAAAATGACGATTTGTAAGAACTATTTATTAGTCCAAACAAATAAAGAAATTTTGACTTTGACTTTTGACTTTGAAACAGTTTTATGGCCATAAAAGTTGGCTCAAACGTAACTACCTATTTTTTGAAGAAGTGACTCTGGATCCTTCTAAAGACACATTTTTAGGGTAAAAACCTTTCCTTTAATGAAATGAAGTTTAGAACTAGACTTTTAAATGGTGCCAATATTGGTGGGAAGTGGGGATGCATACGTTTCAAAGTGCTTGTCGCGGGAGGTGCGATTTATTTGACGACGAGTGTAGTTTTGTTAACTTTTAAATTTCTAGCTCGGCTACTTTGACCAGCCAGTGTCGATAGCTAGATGTTTCCAATCGCTAGATCATTTGCTCTTAGTTCACTATTACCTCTAATGGAGTTATTTAAAAACTTGTCTGCAACAAAGATTATCAAGTGATAACACAAAACTACCTTAATGATGGAACAGATGACTTCTTTCCGGCATAATTATTGTTCGCGTTCGAGTGTCGTCTTTTAAAGAAAATATTCTGATCAACCATTTGTAATTTCCAGGGAAATGGTGCTACTTCCCCGGAGTCACTGGAGCTATACGAGCAGGAGCTAGCCAAGCTAAAGCCCGCCGTGAAGTTCTCGAAGAGCAAAGCCTTCGTGCCGTCCTTCCTCGAAGACTGGATCTTCTACCAGATAGCCTTCGCCAAGCCGGACTACGGCGATGCCTAACACCTACCAAAGAATCTGAACTGTTCCTTTACTTCACACAGTTACTAAGTCATACTCGTATTACCACTAATTTTAATGTACCTATTCTGTGACATCTCATAATTTGAAAACCTTTCCTATTTGACCAACAGATGTACAGTTTATATTATTAATTAAGTCGTGATCCAGATTTGATTTCACAGTAGTATTAAATTATTAATTGCTATACCTCAACTGATGTTCCTTTTTTTCGAGGCAGTAAAAGTAAGATAAGAAATATCACTATGTACAAAACGTTTACAAAGAATATTAAGGAATTGTCAGTATTTTAACTTAAGGCTTATGAGCATACTATAGTTTGCCATTAGAGGTTGATGGATCACATCCAACAAATGTCTTAACAATATTAGTTTTAGGTGTGCTGTTTTAGTATTAAGACAAATTTTAATTTGCATTTTCGCAAAAGCTTTATACAACAATTTGTTATAACATTAGTTTTCTGTGTTTGTCGAATTAGTTTATAATTTACTGTTGCTATTAATTTGTGCGGAATTCATTTGTTTGTTTTATGGTTAATAAAAAATATTTTGACAAACAGTTAACTGGATATTTTTTATAAAAGAGTTTTTGATCGCATTTTTAAGTATATTCAAGATAATAGTACAAAAGGCATAATAGTGTTTATCTCATTTATTGTTAAATTATGTACCATTTTTCTTTATTATAAAGTACAACTATTGTTTGACTTTTCTGGTTGATTTGCCAATATTAATCCTTCAAGGCCCGCGAATCTAGACACAATAGATGATCAATTGTTATGGCATTAATGTATGCCGTCTGGGACTTTAAAGGTTAAAAGCTGTGTTGGCTTTAACTAAAGAATCACAATACATATGAAAATCTTTTAAATAAATTCAAATGGATGAAAAAACATTACAAAAATAATTCATGAACTATTCTTAACAAACTGGTTTCCATAAGTTATACATTCTCATGCCAGACACCTTCCATCAAACTTAACAATGTAATGTTTGTGTCAGACGAATTTGCTAAATTGAAATATTCACTAGCTCAAAATTAATTAATCTTTGAGGTTTTGCTACAGTATCAACCCGCGTCCATAGAAAAAACCAATTTGTTCGGTGTATTTTCATAGTAGGGGCTGGCTTTCGTTAATAATCTCACCTGAGAGGTACAGATTTTCCAACCACTATCCAAATAATATTGTCATGAACCATGGGGATAGTGAGAATACTGCTTAGTAGTAAATTATGGTCCCACTATCTCCATTACGATTTTGCTTAACGAATGAGAGTATTAATATTACTGAAACTATCACAGTGGACTGTACATTACAAACAACGTCTGACACAAACCAACAAAAACAAGTTATACATACATAATTATATACAACGTGTCCCAAAATTCAAGGATAAGCCGGCGCCGCAGGGTGGACCTAGTCATGACTGCTTTAGGAAAAATAAGAAAAAAAATCTATCTCAATTATTTTTTAAGTTACACAATAAATTATGAAATTCGTCAAAAATTTACACCCCTTATGATATTTTACATTACCACGACTACAATTTTTCAAATACTTCAGTTTTTTTGTTTGTATCGGCAACTTAAGTAGTGCTGCTGTCCACCCCAATTCTTAAAACCCTCAGAATCCTTGCAGTTTTTACACAAAAGTTAATCAAAATATGATATTTCCTTAAAATTTTGAACGATTTTTACTTACACTCCACTTTGACTCGTCGTTTTGTAAAAAAACAGTATGAACACTACTGCGGCAAGTTTTTTATAAAGTTGACGCAACTATCCAAGATTCCGAAATGGTATAATACACTAAGAAAACTAGTCGCAAAAAAAATATGCGTACCATTTTTACAAGCACTTCGCTTGTTAGTTAGTATGGGATAAATCTTGCAACTGAATTTAAAACCAGTTCTCCTTAACCAATTGAGCTGAAATTTGGTATACTTGTGTAAGTACGATGACAATGCAATATTATGGTGCCATTGAGCTGGATGGAGTATGGAGGTGGCCATAAGAACTCTTAACGAAACGGCGGAATTACATCTAGTTTGGGTTCGTTGGACTTGTCTTTTCGAGCACTTTAGTGCTAGATGATGTTCAGGGTCCTGATGATGAAGTCAAGAGGTGGCAGGAGCTGGCCATAGGAACTCCTAAACGAAACGGCGGAAGCTTATCGAGTTTGGGTTCGTTGGATTTGTCTTCCCGAGCACTTAGGCCATGAGATTGAGAAACAACTAAAAAGCTTAAAATAAAGTTGTAATAAAAAAAACTTATTTAAAAACAAGCTTGACTTCGTTTGAAAATTATAATTGACTTCATCATCAGGACCCTGGACATCATCTAGCACTAAAGTGCTCGAAAAGACAAATCCAACGAACCCAAACTCGATAAGCTTCCGCCGTTTCGTTTAGGAGTTCCTATGGCCAGCTCCTGCCACCTCTTGACTTCATCATCAGGACCCTGAACATCGTCTAGCACTAAAGTGCTCGAAAAGACAAGTCCAACGAACCCAAACTAGATGTAATTCCGCCGTTTCGTTAAGAGTTCCTATGGCCACCTCCATACTCCATCCAGCTCAATGGTACCATAATATTGCATTGTCATCGTACTTACACAAGTATACCAAATTTCAGCTCAATTGGTTAAGGAGAACTGGTTTTAAATTCAGTTGCAAGATTTATCCCATACTAACTAACAAGCGAAGTGCTTGTAAAAATGGTACGCATATCTTTTTTGCGACTAGTTTTCTTAGTGTATTATACCATTTCGGAATCTTGGATAGTTGCGTCAACTTTATAAAAAACTTGCCGCAGTAGTGTTCATACTGTTTTTTTACAAAACGACGAGTCAAAGTGGAGTGTAAGTAAAAATCGTTCAAAATTTTAAGGAAGTATCATATTTTGATTAACTTTTGTGTAAAAACTGCAAGGATTCTGAGGGTTTTAAGAATTGGGGTGGACAGCAGCACTACTTAAGTTGCCGATACAAACAAAAAAACTGAAGTATTTGAAAAATTGTAGTCGTGGTAATGTAAAATATCATAAGGGGTGTCAATTTTCGACGAATTTCATAATTTATTGTGTAACTTAAAAAATAATTGAGATAGATTTTTTTTCTTATTTTTCCTAAAGCAGTCATGACTAGGTCCACCCTGCGGCGCCGGCTTATCCTTGAATTTTGGGACATTTGTATATTATCTCTGTACAGCTGGAATTATATTGTTTTGCGTTACTCGGCCTGTCGCAGCCGCGCCAGTCGCTGCGTAAGCTCGTCCTGTTCCTGCGACACCACGGTGGATGCTCCCACGGATGTACTGGGCACTCCGGATGGTAGCTCCATGTTTAGCTCCAAGCTAGAAATGGAAAATGAAATGTTATGAAAGTGTATGATTTATACACAGCCTTGTTGTAGAGGATCTACAGCAGTGGTTCTAAACCTTTAAGTTATGAGGGACCATTTTACTAAATTTCTGTCTTGTCAGGGACCACCTCATAATCGGTCCAAATCAGTTTGACTGCAAAAATCTGTTAAAAGTGGTTTTGACCAAGGTGTGCATGTGCACTTCGTGGACCACTTGGAATGCCTCCAGGGCCCACCAGTGGTCCGCTGACCACCGGTTAAGAACCACTGTTGTAAAGGATCTCCCTACAGGATGGGAGGCAAGAGACCAGTGGCGTAGCATGGGTTGGCAGTTGGCACCCGGGACGATCCCCCCGTCATAAGTCCATTAGCAGGGGGCTAAGGACAATGACTGTTAAGTCTGATATGAGATGATATGTAAAACATATTGTAATGGAATTTCCTCATGAAAAAGGTAATAACAGGGGTCTTGCAGAAGTGCCCACTATTCCATTATTATACTCAGTTTTTTTTAATCTAGAATTGCTGAGTATAAAACAGACAAAAGTTATAATTTTGACTGAGAATACAACTTTTATATGTTTTATACTCAGCAATTCTAGATCTAGACAGTGCCAAGTTCAACAACTTGGTAGTAAATGGTTATCAAGTATTTGTAAAACTTGCAATGTAATATTACATACCCAGCCTCATCAGCCACTTGCTGCAGCAAGGTATCGACATCTCCTTGTGGGACGGTGGTGGTGGTGGTTTGTGACATTGCATTCTCCATGTACGAGGACTGGACATCCAGGTCTTCAAATTGACTCTCAAACTTGTCCATGAGATTTGAAATTTTTTCTAAGTTCATAGACTTCATTGCTGCATCCATAGCTTTGACCACACCAGCCATGGAATTTGTGACCTGTGTAATAAAGTGAATAACATAATTAAACATTTTTGATAGAAAATATAAATCCAGCAATAAATTGTAAATTGTTTACTTTGTTGAACTGTTTTCATATAAACTAAAAATACAAAATGTATTATATTGATTGATGATTAATCATATTACAAACAATGGTTTACCTTTTTTGTAGTAAGAGCAGTCTGCACTCTACTGGACACTGCATCTACTCTAGCTGACATCCGTAAATAATTTAACGCTTGGTTCTTCTGTCTGATTGCGTTCTCGGCGTGTATCCTTGCGCCCTCCATGTTATTCTTCTGTATTGCCTTCTTGGCTTTCTCCTTTTCCAATTTCTCTTCTTTTTCACATTTTTTAGAATTTCGTTCCAGCTCTTTCACAGCAAATTTTAAATTAAATAGGTTTTCTGATAAAATGAGTTAAGGATGTTTACACAATAATTAAAATTAAACCTGTAATCTGAGGCTTAGTAATAGAATGTTATAGTACTTACTACAAATACAATCCCCCAGTGTAAGGCTATATTTCAAATAATAATTACTAAAATAGCATACTTACCTGACAGGATACCTTCATAAGTTGTTATTGCCTTGATAATTATAAAATGAATCATTGAAAAGGATACTTTCCATTGCGGATGAAGACATTTCGTTCCCCAGTTTGACGGCTTTATAAAAACTTTTTACAAAAAGAAACACAGGCAAATTGCCTTTTATAATCACAGCAAAGCTTTTGTACAACAACTTGATTTCAATGAATTATGAAAAACGCAGATTTTATTGTCGTAAATGACTCACTATTCACTATTTCATCAATGATTGTAGTCAAAACAATTTTTTTTCCTAATCACATGTCAGAAATGACAACTGTCATAAGCAAAATGCATATTCGGATACACTTAAAATAACATTAATGCTACGTATATAAATACGATTGCGTTGGAGTTGGACGTGCGACATTTTATTTAATTTATGTATAGGTCGCACAACGAAAGTCGTCTCGAAGCGCTAGCCTTGCTTTTGTGTAGATTTTGTAGGGCAAACATGCGCTGGAGACCCGGCTTCATTGTTGTTTGTGTTAACTCAACATGTGTGTTTGCCTCAACTTTCGTTGAGCGACCCATAGAATAATCCGTAAGTTTTTCGTACAAGTTACACTACTTTTTATGTAACTGCTGTATTGACTCTTTAATGTTTATTGGAAGAAGCCTCAGACCAACGAAGAAGCTCAATCACTCAATAATATGATGTGAAATCGCCATTTATGGTTATGGTCAAAGAAGTGAAATTCCCAAACATACTATAATGCTCAAAGACAATCTCTGTCTATAGCTCAGCAAAGTTAGGCAAAACTGTACCTACCCAAACACAAAAAAAAACCTCCGTGGTTATGGTTTTCAACTTTGTTTTGTTGGTACTCTTGTGAATAACAACAAAATGTCAAAATAAATTGAATGGAGTGAAAAGTGTCGCTGCCGGATTTTGGAATAAGAAGTGAGCAAGTGAATATCGTCAAAAAATCGAAAATATTCCTAGAAATCCTTTTAGTTATTAGTTTGTAATTATCGGTTTTAAAATTTATTCGCTGTACGTTATAGTTTTTTAGTATTATTTTTGTTTAGCTAAGCCTGTGACTAAAGTCGAAATTCTAAATAATATCGAGTATCTAGAGGACATTCGCTGGGCGTAAAAAGAAAATGGCGTGTGCTACTCTAAAAAGAAATTTGGACTGGGAGTCCATGTCCCAGATGCCTGCTAAAAGGCGAAGATGTGCTCCGTTTGCAGCCAGCTCAAGCACAAGCCCAGGAATAAAAATGACTGAAAATAGGCCTTCGAGTTTTGGAGAGTCAGTAACTGCACCTGCTAAATTGACCCCAGGTTTGTTTATTTTTACAACAACTGCAATAAGATGTATGAAGTCATTGCATAAATGTATAGATGGTAGTTTTTTGTGTAATTGTTTGTCCAATTTTGTAATTGAAAGTAATTATCAGCTGTGCAAGTATTGTTTCTGCGCTATCATGAATATTTTTATCGGGTAAGAGCGAGATAGGCGATGCGTAAAGACCGTTGGGTAGGTTTTTTGCCTGTCCTTTTGTTGTTTTTCTTTTGTGATCTATCTATCTGAGCTTGTAAACCTCGAGTTTCGATTTAATAAGAGAAATGGTTGTGGGAGGCGAGTTTTTGTGCCTGCCTACGTTTTTTGCCTATTTAGTAATCACTTGTCAAATGATTGCAGACTCACCAAAAGTACAGATGATTCAAGCAAAAATGGTCTTTGTTGTAGTATGCTCTTTCCTTCAAAATATTCATGTCATACTTTGTTTAGCTGACTTGCAGATGATTCAATTAACAATTAGACAAATAGTTTTCCTATTAATTTTGTTTTAGAGTTGAAAATAGTTTCTCAGATACCTTAAATCTGTCCTTCATTGCAATAATCTTTCCGATCATCCAATTCTATTAGTCTTAAATTAATTATTTTCAATTGTTCGGTTATCTGCTATTTAAAATTAATGGCCTATTACCTCTATTCTATTGGCTTGTTAATGGGTTTAGTAATAGGTTATTGGTATCAATGCTCAAGCTATAAACTGAGCAATATAAAAGTAATACAGTACAAAATGGATATGGTACTTATTTGTCCATTAGCCAGATAGTTAACTGTGTCTTAAACAAAACTTTAAACAACCTATTTTTATGTTTTAACAACTTTTATAAGCCTATTGTCCTACTTAAACAATGCAATTCTGCAGGTACATTGCTAGTGTATTGAAAATGAGGGTTTATTATTACTTACAATAGATTTAAACTTAATAATATCTGCAGGTCAATCAAATCTAATGGTATTTTCTGAAAATGGCTTTAAAAAAACTTGTTTCGAAGTTGATCAAATTAAATTAAATATTAAATCGCTCAACTAAGTTCTCTCAATTTTCTGCTATTGATAGTAGGTACCTATCCTGTATTTACCATGTGTGTTTTACTTCAGAATGGCATGGTAATTGCTTGTAACATTTGTCATTGTCAATAATTTATCAATATTTACAAACTTTTAATTTAGTTTAGATATTAATAAGTCTATTTGGGTTCTCGTTAATGGATCCTGCAATGACTTGCTGCTGGACTAACCACTAACTTTTGTGTTAAAACTTGGGAGAATAAAGATACATTTAAACATCATGAAAATGATGATGTAACTTTATTACAATAGTGACTGAGTTTCTTGCACTGCTTCTTCTCAGCACTGGCCCATTTATTGCTCCGAAGCAGTGGTAGGGTTAATACTGGCATGTGTAAAAGAGCTTTTTAAAAGCCTATTTGGAAAAGTAAATGAGTTTTTGCAACAGCTGCTTTACTGTGTGCTACTGGAGGAATAGAATAGGATAGAGACAGGACAACTAAGGGAAAAATATGCTAACATTAGGGTCAGGCCTCCTCAACCAGTCTGGCCAGTGTGGAGAGAGTATAGGTGAAAATCTATTTATTTGCCTCTAGTAAATTAGAAATGTTTTTCATCCTGCAGTGGAGGGATCTGAGAGATTAAATAACTGGATTTAGACTCCCTCTCAACATTTCAACAAGCAAATAATAATATTATTGATATAACAATTTCTGATCAACAACAGTTCTATCACCTCATTTTCTTGTTGACTTCTACACTTGCAAATACAAGCTAAGCATTTACGACCGTGATCCACAACAAATAATGTTATTTAGGATAGTTTGTTAACCATCACGTCATTATATCCACAGAAAAGTTGAAGGAGGCCTATGCCAAGAGGCAAATGATCTTCGGAATATACTATACACACTGAAAATGCTAGTTTCATGTACACGAAGACGTGCCCCACTATTCTTCTGCTAATGTTTGAGTGTTATCGGTACACGCTAAATCATCCATGAGTGCACACGCACACTAACATAATGACGCTCGGATCAGATTCCCCGCACCCCGCGCTTCTCTCGACCAGAAATTAGTGGGGCGCGTCTTCGTGGATGAAACGACCTCTAGCATCCAATGAATGACTTTACTTACACTAGTGCTGTTGCGGGTCCAATGACAGTTTAACTTTCCCCCGGGAAAAATTAGACCTTCATTGGTTGGGTTTTTGTGGCGGTCAAGCTGTAGATCCTGGCTACACAGGAGTTGCAGTGGTGACGAGAGGTGGGAATAGGGTTGCCAGGTCCAAAAACACAAAAGCCGGACTCGGTGCTTAATTAGGCCGGACATTTAACCCTAAAAGCCGGACACGCCTTTTTTTCCATGTCACGGCAACTTATCAACTTTCATCTTCAAATCGGTAGATCGGTAGCCCAACATTCCGCTGACGTGTGCTTTTGACTGGGCGCGGCTGCCGCAAAAAGCCTAACAAAAGCCGGACAGGCCGGACAAGGGATTTTTGGCCGGACAAGTCCCTAAAAACATCCGGACACCTGGCAACCCTAGGTGGGAATAGTGCTGTTTGGAATAGTTGTTTAACCGTGACGTCACCGCATCCCCAGAGCGCATGGCGCAAGAGATTTGCGACGAGATCAAGCGGCTGCAGCGGCGCCGGCAGCTGCGGCTGGCCAGCGGCGCGGCGGCGTCGTGCTCGTCGTCCAGCGGCTCAGAGGGCGACTGCTCGCCGCCGCACCGCTCCTCGCACAACTCGCAGAAGGTCCACAACCGCGCGCTCTTCACTTTCAAACAGGTAAATTGGTTTATAGCGACCCTAATATAACGGCCGTTTGGTGTAGTGGTTCAGAACGGACTACTATGCCGAGAGGTCCCGGGTTCGATTCCCGGCTGGGCAGAAATTGAAATGATAAATTTCAATTTCTGTGATGGGTCTGGGTGTGACTATGTATAATATGTATGTATTTAAAAAAAAAAGTATATAAGTAGTATATCCGTTAAGCTACCACCCATAACACAAGCATTAAGTTGCTTACTTTGGTGCTAGCTGGCGCTGTGTGAAATTGTCAAAAGATTTATTTATTTATTATATACCAACATTAAATAAAATAAAAAGCTTTTATTTCCACAAGTTTACAAATTAAGTTAGAAGCATTTGTTCGTTCTCTCTTGTGGCACCCTGTATAGGCAAAAGCCTCCTCCATCCCGCTCCATTTCTTCCTGTCCTGGGCTAGGTTGAGCCAATTTTCTCCTACTGCTCTCATTATATCATCAGCCCACCTTTCCTTGGGTCTCCCAACATTCCTCTTCCCCTTTGGTATACCAACATTAGTTACATTTATTAAATTTACCTTTTAAAAATTCTTCCCCTCTCTTAGAATGCTGTGCCCGACAGGGTCCTTAATTGTATCTTACAATAAAACCATACCACCTCTGTAAAATTATGGATGCAATAAATTATTGAGTATGGTTCGTCGTTTCATCCGAATGACGTCCACTGCTGGACAAAGGCCTCTCAAAGGATTTCCACAAAGACCAGTCCTGCACTACCCGCATCCAGGCACCTCCCGGTAATGGGAGGCCTGTCCAAAATACGTCTTCCAACTCGTGGTCGCCACTCGAGAACTTTTTGCCCCAGCGGCCATCAACTATGTGCCCCGCCCACTGCCTCTGCATAATTTACGGTTGCCGGCAATAAATTGGATAAGCAATTAATCTCATGCCAAGTGAGGTCACGTCATGGTCATGTACCATGGTGTCCTATTGAGATTTGAGATAGAGCCGTATAGGTCGTTGGAATGGGTCCTGTATTGGACTACTAGCTTTTGCCCGCGGCTTCATCCGCGTGAAAATACGTTTGTCACAGATCCTCATAAATTATAGCCTATATGTTATTCTGGGTTATAAACAATAATACTGTAGTGTCCGACCGAAACTAGTTTTACGACCGAAACCGAAACCGAAAACGAATTTCGGCAACGGTGTCTGTTTCGGCCGAAACCGAAACCGAAACTTCCTTACAAGGCTCATATTTTGAGGGAAAAATAAAGAAAACGTTATTATAATCAGTCAGTCTTTATTGTTTTCTCTTTCAATTGCATTAAAATTGAACTTATATAGCGCCTTTTCGAATCGATAAAATAAAGTGACAGTGGGCGGGGCACATAGCTCGTAGAGCTGATGGCCGCTGGGGCAGGAAAGTTCTTCTACTAGGTGGACCGACGATCTGGTGAAGGTCATGGGAGGTGCCTGGATGCGAGCGGCGCAGGATCGGTCTTCGTGGAAATCCTTGGGAGAGGCCTTTGTCCAGCAGTGGACGTCTTTCGGCTGAAACGAACGAAAGCGCCTTTTTACTCTTAAAGGTATCAAATTATGTACCTATTAAAAAAGAAAAAGAAGGATTTATAAATAGTCTAGATTTTTTTTAATTACTCGCAATATTCAGGACATAACCCGTCCCATGGTCGGGTCTTTTACCTTAATAATTTCTCAATACAAAATTGGTAGTACGTAAGTTAGTATCTACTGTACTTGCCACTTGGATACCTTGGTGATAAATACTAAAATGAACTTTGAAACTGAATCCATAATACGAGTATTATCACCATGAAATGCACTATAGTCATAACTAACTACCTAACTAATGTTTGTTTTTACGTATAGCATTTGCGAACCAAAAAAAAATGTACCTATAGGTTAGATAAAACTTGATTATGCTCGTGCTTTGTCCTCGAGATTAGAAATAAGAACTATGTAGTATCACGTACGGTGATGCCAGTTTACGCACTGTTAGTTGAGGATATATATTTTTTTTTTTTTTTGTGGGTATCTCAGTTTACATCCCATTTGACATTGGTATCCGTCGTCAGTCACGATTCAGTGCTCTGCCAGTTCGCACTTCTTCTACTTAAATACGTACCCAGTGTTAAAAATAGTGTTTTTGTGTCGTCAAAATGCCGAACGAAAAACGTCAAATGAGGATAAGGAACATTTGCTGAAGAAAATAAATAAATTGGAGCAGAAGATATTGGGAAACGTTTTTTGGCCAAACATTAGTAATCCCGAAAAATCACATGTGATCAAGCGACGGGTATACTAGCAGTACCCTTATAACGTAATCTAGCTTTGTTTCTTTAATTGAATAAAAATAAAAACGCTACACGTGTCTAAATGTCTCATATCAAACGAAGATTACATCTTCATCTATCTATGGATATTATATCTTCATCATTGTCTGATGATCAAGCAGTACAAAACAATTTCAAGGAAATTGTTTTACTTTTGCCATAACTATCATTCATTGAGGTATTAGATTCCACTATTTTAATNTTTTTATATTTTACTTGGAAGAAGATATGACTCTAACAACACTTATGTACACTTTATTTGAATAAATCGCCAAATATACCACCGCGGAGACCCCAATCGCGTCTCTGCGTGCCATTGAATCGTATGAGCGTATGGATTTTTTGCGTTATTTTTCACAATTTCCATTTTTAAAAATTACCTATCGATAGCTTACTTTATTCTGATGAATAAATGTCATTACAAGTTTTTCTCTAAAACTGATAATTTGGCTAGAAAAAAATATTTTCTATCCACGCAGTACGCCGGCAGCGTTCGGATCGGATATAATGACGTCATCGTCCCCGCGCCGGGCGGTCAGTGAACTTTTTTAGTAATTTGGCCATAACTTCGTCAATTTTTGTCGTAGAACAAAAATTTTTGCACTGTGTATTAAGGATTTCTTAGCCCTATAAATCTGCATTCACAGCTAAAAATCGAAATGATCCTCATTAAAACTGCCTTATGAAGTGCCTCAGATCGTTGCAGTGATCTGACCAAAGATTTGCAATCTAAAGCACAAGGATCTCAATATTTCCATTGAAATCTCATGATTGCGATATTTAGAATAAAAAACAGCATTTTAGGTACACAGCGTGGGACGTCCACCCACAAGGTGGACCGACGACATCATAAAGGGAGCAGGAAGGCTCTGGACGCAGGCCGCTACCAACCGGGCAACATGGAAAGCATTGGGGGAGGCCTATGTTCAGCAGAGGACGTCCTGTGGCTGAGATGATGATGATGATGATGATTTTAGGTATTAATTTATATGGTCACCTTGAAGATACACTGTTTTCTAGTTTCACATTGGATACCTAACTTAAATAAGTACGACAACTTTGTATGAACTTTGATACCACAAAGCTGGACTGAACCACGCAATGTTTGCAGACTAACCTGACACATGTTACTTGTCTAGTGCTCAAATGCGAGCTAACTTAGGACAAGACTTAGGCGTGACGAAGGTCTGGGATATACGTTACAGCGTCTTTCCGTTCTATACATGGCCAGAACGCACCCATAGGAAACTGCTCGTGTATATTTTGTAGTGCCCGTTTGTAACGTGTTGTTGTTTGTACGTGTATAGTTTGGAAGAGCTTAGTAAAAAAAAGTCATATCCAAACTATACTCGATTAGTTTCTACTACACCACTTACAATTGACTAGAGTGTGTTTAGTTGATAGTGATTTAGTAAAACATGGAATTATATTTAAAACTACATTTATTCGATATTATTTCATAAAATATTATTATTTTACTGAATCTATAATAAATCTAGATTTTTAACACTATTGTAAGTGGTTTATGAAATTTAATTGATTAGGTAGATTTCAAATTAAATAACAATTATTAGTGTAATCATAAATTCATTTAAAATGAGAGAGAGTGAGAGAAGAAAGTTCAACGTGCATTATTAATACATTATGCGAGACTTTAAATGCTAGGTTTGTATTATCGGCCGTTTGGTGTAGTGGTTCCAAACGGACTACTATTCCGGACGGAGCGGGTTCGATTCCCGCACAGTACAAACATTTGTGTGCATGAACATATTTGTTTGTATTGGACTGGGTGTTTTCTATGTATAGTAAGTAAGTATTTACAAAAAAAAGTAGTAAAAAAATGACAATGAAAATGTTTTATTTTATAAATAAAGTTGATTAACAAGATATTTCGGTAACCATCCTTTTAAGTATACATGTAGTAGGAGGTTACCGCTCTTCCAAAAGTATTGACATACCTACATTCTTAGTTAGTGTATTTGTGGTGTATTAAGTGAATTTGTGTGTAGTGTTATGAGTGGTGTATTGAGTGAATTAGTGTGTTGTGTTGTGAGTGGAGTGTTGTGTGTATTATATGTGTAGCAATTTATTTTATTTTATTTATGCCATCCCATACGTCAAGTCAGATATCAATCAATTCATCATATTTATTAGTAACTAGGTAGGTGTTAATTCATTAGATAATTATTTTAATCACACTTTTGGCGTCAGAGTCGCGGAGTCATGAGGACAAGCTAATATACATATGAAACTAGCGGGCGCCCGCGACTTCGTACGCGTGGATCCCGTTTTACTCTCCTAGGGGTGGAGTTTCGTAAAATCTGTTCTTTCTTAGTAAGCACCTATGTTCTAAAGAACCCCCATTCAAAATTTGAGACTCCTAGCACTTCTAGATTCTGAGATTTCGTGATGAGTAAGTCAGTCAAGCAGTAACCTTTCGCTTTTATAAATATAAATTGACAAGAATAGGCGTCTAGTCGCCGAGCTTTAGCTGTCACGTATCGCCTAGCACACTAGCCTACTCTTAATTTATATGCCTCCTAAAGCAGAATAATATTTAATTTTTAATATCTACGCCCTTCTGTTGTCCCTGCAACATCTGCAGCAACTTAAAACATCAAAGAGCAACTAAACCCTGCTATTAGCGCCATCTATCTCGGTCGCCGCTAATTAGTTTATCGCTTCGTGCTGGTGATCAATCTCATTTGACGTA